TAGACAATTTAATTGGTAAGCAACCCAGTTGGGTTGGCTCCCACCCTGTTGCTTTTCTGAAAGGGCCCAAAACCATGGTTTTGTCAGTGGGCCTGGGAATCGCAAATGGAGATAGAGCCAATCATGTGGTTGATTTGATTGCGTTGCTGCTGCCTTGGAGGTGGGGTGGGTGGGGATTTTAATGGAGGGTGGATTATGTATTGGATTTTAAAATGTTGTAACCTGCTTGGAGTCACCTGTGTGTGAGTTGGGTGGCTATATAAATCTGTTTAATAAATAAATAAAGGTAATGAGCAGATGCCAAAATCAGATGAAAATGCCCATTGATATGGGCACCCTTGACCATATGATGAAGAAAAAAAATTACCATATGAATCGGCAAAAAAAAAGTTGTAAGTTCATTACCATAAGTATCAGGTTTTCAGCTATGATGAGACATGAATCCTTGCCTCATGTAAGATTCACAAGCACACATTTGGCAGCAACATACACTGTTTAATTTGGCATGCCCACTTCCTCCAGAGAGGTCCGGTAGGTCAACAGCTGCACACCTGCATAAAGAAATTATTTTTGGTTTCTTTTTTTGGCCAAGCTCAATCTATATCCTGTACTTCTGCTTATATTTTATTAAACTCTGTTTTCTTGTGTGGTCTTACCCTGAGCTACTCTTTCCAAAGGCCTGAAATCATTTCTGTATCTTTGTATCAAACCTCCAAATGAAGAAGTGTCCATCCTTCAATGTGCTGAATTACAAAAAATTGCCAATGAAGGTGGTTAGTTTTGTGTGTTATGCTTTTGTAGATCGAGAATGTTGCTCGTTCTTACATTTTGCAAAATATATTCATTTCCCTTTTTAAAAAAACATGTTTGCATTTCACTTTTATTTCAGGATTAAAGTTTTGATAAAGTATACCTTGCAATATCTGATTTTTTTAATTCTCCTGGAAACAGAATTCGGGGATTGTTGTTGTTGTTGTTTACTTTTTGATGGTGCTTTGAGCATGCTGTATTGTTGGATGTGTTGTAGGTAGATTTTCCCACCCTCTCTGTAAGAATATATGGCAGTGATGGCTAACCTTTTCTGCACCGAGTGCCCAAAGCACACGTGCGCACACAAATACATGCATGTGTGTGCATACACCCATAATGCAATGCACACATGAAACACCCCCCTTGCATTCCCTGCTCCCCCGTGCATGAGAATTGCACTTTCAAACTTCAAAGATTTTTAAATGGATTTTACAATAAAATAGAATTAGCTCATCAGTGTGTGTTTCCTGTCTGGTCATCCCAAATCTCCTTGACTTATCCCATCTATAAAAATCCAGTATGTTCTCTTGGGATTTATTTGAAATGGGGGAAGCAGATTGATCAAGGCTACTGGAGAGAGAAAGAAAGAAAAAAACACCCCAATATATTTATATACATACTTGGGAACCTTGTAGTAAATTAAGGGCATGAGTTTAATACTCCAGCTATGAGAACTTTGCTGAAATTATCCCCTGCTCCTGCTTCAAATGGTTTTCATCATTTTGAATCAAATTTGTTAGGAGATACAGATTATAGGATTATAAATATTTTAAATGAGAATTCCTTTATTGTGACCTGTAAAACACACATAAGCAGTCTAGGAGAGTAGCAGAATTTTTTGGGAAGAAAAAGATCAATAACCCTACAAGTAGAGAGAGGCAGGACATTGAAGAGAACAACACAAAAGTCTAACTGTGCATAATTCCCCAGCTCACAACTGCAGGGGAGTCTTTTAAAGGACACTTAGTTTGCAAACCTAAACTTATAATCACTGTCGGAAATTGTTCGCTGTAATAACCATATTAAAGCTATTGAAGTGACCTTCAGAACAAGTTCAAAAAATCATAAGGTGAGTTTTTCTTCCCTTCTGAACAAAAGAAAAATTGTAAGATTGAGAATTTAAAGAATTTGAAATAAACAGTAAAAAGCTAAGACTCTGAACTAAAAAAAAGTTACACATATATAAGGGTCCAGATAACTTTGGAATATTGACTTTTACTGTAAGATTTTGAAATTGAAATAGATAGCTTTGTATGGGAAGCAGACTTATTTTGGCTGTACTGGGTATTGTAAGTCAAAACAAAACAAAAATAAGTAATAATTTTAGAAATTAGAGATTAGAAGGAACAAAAAATTTATTTAACAAATTAGAAACCTGATCTTAATGTGAGTTAATATTGGTACTTATAAAATGACACAAAATATAACATCAGAAATATTAAAGGAGATTTTTGAAGAATGGTGGCAGAAATTAGTAACTACAATATCAACACTGTCAATTATGATGTCTGCTTCTATGAGTAGACTATGTTTAAAAGATGTTAATGAAAGAATGACAGATGTAGGGCAAATTATAATTTATCGAATAAAATAGAAAAAGTATTGGAAGTGGAACTACAAGTGACACGCCAAGAGAATGATTTGGAAAAGGACACTTTACTGGATATACAAAAGAAATTGACCAAAGGTTTAAAAATTAAAAGAGAAGTGCAAACAATAAACCAAGTAAATAATAAACCAAGAAAATGTTTTCTTATTGGAGGCTTGTTAAAATCTTGAAGAAATCTGTGCGATAGGATTTGATTTCTGTTCAATTTTTCTGTATCCTATGACAATATCTGACTGAGTTAAAGAATAAACTGTTAGAATGAAAAGTAAGGAATATAAAGTTGGTTTATTTTATCAAGGTTAAAATAAGACATTTCTTTTTGCAGTGTTCTAGGAACCCTTTATGGACTTTTGCAGATACCAGGAAACTTGGGAAACTTGATGTTTATGGATTTATTTATAAACAAGGGATGGGACGTAAGATGAAGAAACATCTGTAACCTTACATAGGTTGAAGAGTTACTAAATTTGTTTATACCTGTTGTGATAAAGGCTGGAAGACATTTCTTTATATATTTCTTTTTCTTTATTGTATTCTTTTTTTCCTTTTCTTTTTCTGCACATTTTTGTTCCCCATTTTCTTCTCTGTCTGTAAGTTTAGCTTGTATTAGATTTTACTATTGTAATTAAAATTCTTAAAACTGGAAGGACACTGAAGAGGAGGAAGTCTGTTTGCACACTTGATTCATTTCAGCAGTACCATCAGTTTGGAGATCTATGAGAGGATATTATCAAAAACACCTGAACTAGAAACATTATTAGTTTCATCAATAAGCCTTTTTATCCTGCTGTATTTGCTTCAGTGAATATTTAAAGATGACAATACATTAGAAGTATTTTAGCACAACCTGGTGGGCAATTAATGAAGTGCAACAGGAACCTTTACCTTCAGAATTGGACACAGAAGCTGGGCTGTAGAGACATTTTTCCACCAACCTAATAAAGGATTGTTCGAAGTCCACTTGGTATATACATAGTTTATCCAGTCAGATGACTCTATATTTAAGATATCATGCACACACACAACTTCGAAAAACAACAAGAAGAAGAACAAAATAGTAATAAAAAGAATAGCATTAAATGGGAAGGACAAAGAAGAACAAAATGGAAGCAAGAAGGTAACAGGACAGCCAAAGTGTTAAGAGAGAGAATATTCCTGGTTATGCAATGCGAAAACAATATGGTTATCTGGCAGGAACATCTTCCAAGCAATAGCTAGCGATCTAATCTTCCAGCTAATTTTAAAGATATTCTCAGGACTGGAGCCATTTGCAATTACAATGGTGTTTTTCAAAGTTGATACCTTTAAAAAGCGTGGACTGCAATATGCTGGCTGGAGAATTCTAGGATTTCAAGTCCACTCATCTTAAAGTTGCCAAGATTGAAAAACACTGATCGATACCATGCATGTTTTCCAGTGGTGGATTGCCCCCGGTTCAGACCGATTCGCAAGAACCGGTAGTAAAACCGGCGGGAGGCTCCACCCACTGACCCGGATGTCATCATAGGCAATCTGTGCATGCACGATGCGAACCGGTAGTAAAAGTAAGTAGAACCCACCCCTGATGTTTTCCTAGTAGTTTTTTTTCCCTACTTAGCATCACTGCAAGATGACACCCTAATCTTTTAACCAGCCCATGTACACCCATCTGCCACTCTTTAAAGCAGCTGATTTTTTCCTATGAGTCATGCAGCTGTCCTCCACAGTTCCTTTGATCCAGAGAAAAGTTGCATTAATTTAAAGAGTTGCCAACAGGTGTTGTGCCAGTCTCTCTGTTTCTCTGCATTGAAAGCAAGATTTGCCCTCAAAATGTGAAGCCTCACCTAGCCTTCTGATTTCCTGGCTCTCCCCTTTGCTGTTACTCCATTGTGAAAATTGCATACTTTTTTGTTTCCTATTTCTCTGATACCCTCATTTAGAAGCTTCCTTACAGATAGCCCTTGACTTACGACCATAATAGAGCCTGCCTCTCATGGTCATAAGTCATGACAATTGTAAAGCAGGTCACCCATATATTTTTTTTGCCATGGTCATTGACTTGATTGCCAGGGGTCATTAAGTGAATCAATGGCTCACTGTTGGCCAGTTTTGGCAAAAACCGGAAGTAGATCTGATTTCCGACAAAAATGTAAAATGGGGTCGTGTGACTCCGCAGTGCTGCAAATGGCCATAAATGTGGGTTGATTGTCAAATACAAATATAGACCATGGGAGGGGCGCAGCAGTCGGTACTTCAGAACCAGGTTGTAGGTAGTACCCTGTTTTCCCCAAAATAAGACATCCTCTGATAATAAGCCCAATCGGGCTTTTGAGCGCATGGTAATAAGGCCAAGCACTTATTTCAGGGTTCAGAAAAAACATAAGACAGGGTCTTATTTTCAGGGAAATATGGTAATTGTAACTAATAATTGATAATCATTTAAAAACATGAATTTTATATATTTATAAAGTATTGACGGTTTAGCCTTTCACATTGTCTGAAGGTTTTTTTTATCATAATTTTACTTTCTTTTTTATAAAAAAAAAGTCCTATACATTATTTTTATTTTAAAATAGGAAGGGTCCAAAAATATAATATCTGAAACTGTTTTCCATATAAAATTTAATGCAAAGTGCAGCCTTTCCAAAGGAATAAACTATAAAGAATAAAATAGAGCGTCTTGTAAATAAAACTTCTATTCAAGCCATAGAAACAGAGTACAAAACAGAACATCTGTATTAACATATCTAAAAAAACGTTAGCTGAATTAAGTTTATGCAGCTTTCAGCATTCATAACTTTAAATTTGTTGGTGATTCAGATGAATTCCTTGTACGTATAGTGCCATCGTGAGGCCACGTTTAGATTTGCAATTTGAAAAACTTTTACTAGAAAATTGTGCTTTGGCAAAACACTTCCCACGTTGCTGTTGAGAAAAGGATATCTATCATACCTTCTTCACTAGCTGAGCTCAAGTCAAAGGAATTTTAACTTTTTAAGGTTTTTTGCTCAGTTTCTGTGTCCACGTTTATACTAACCCAGATCATAAACTTTATTTTACATCTCTTGTTTTGATAACTTTTGTCTGTTGCCTCAGTTCATTATTACCATGTAAACCTGCAAGACTACAGTCATTTCATTTTAATATCCTATGACTCCAGTGAACGTTGTACTTTCATTATCCATATTTAAACTGGACTCACTTTGTGAATGGGCCAAAACTAATTGACCGATAAAATTAGCATGCAATCGCTATGGATTTTGACCAAGGATGAAAGGGTTTGGTCCCCATTCCAAGACATTTATCAATAACTCTCATCCAATAGCAGAAATTCATTTTAAAATTCAAATCATTTTAGAAGTATGGATCTAATAGTTCTCAATTTAAACATATATTATGGCATATGCAGGGAAGGTCAAAAAAGTCAAGATGGTGACTACAAGCATATACTTGAAGCCTCATCCTTTTTTTACATACTCTGGGCATTCAGAATCAGTTGTGATTTCTTTTTGGATACCAACCTGAATATGTTCACAGACAAAACTATGTATGAATAACTTTCTTTCCTCTTAAAAACAACAACAAGGAAGAGAAGAGCAATTCTCTTCTTTTGGAACTATGGAAAAGACCTTTATATATATAAAAAAGTATGTTGTACTTCCAAAAATATTGAACAGTACAAATCACAACCAGTGATTAAAATCTCCATATCTCCATACAAACACACGTACAAAATTCACAGTCTTCTTATATCTAGCCGAAAGTTCCTCATTCTTCCATATTGTTCCTTGAAGGAAAAAATCCTTTTGAGTTTTACAAGATGTGTTCTCTAAAGGAATGCCCATTTCTAACATTCTGGTTTCAATTTTCTTTTGCAGGTAAGATTCTCTGTGGTGTGGACAGAGGATTGATTCAAATTCTAAGCCATGTCACTTAAAACTGGATTTGTAGGTCCATTAACAGAACTCTCTGCTTCCCTAGATGTATCCTTGGCTTTGAAATCATCGCATCTTTCAGCATCATTTCCATTTTCATGACTCATAAGTTGGACATCAGATTCCAAAGAGTTACTCTCTTCTTCTTTCTTGACTTCATTCTGGATGTTAGTGATTTGTTCATGGCGTTGGGCATTTTGTAGCTGTCCATTCTGGGCAGGATACAGGCTTGCAACAGTATCGTATAGAAACTGATAACCTTCCTAAATGGGATTTAAAAAGAGAGAGTTAGCATATGTGCAAACCCATCATGTAGTTTCACTTAATGATATGATAATGCTCCAAAACCTGAGAGAAAGACACAATATGCTGCCTAGACTTAATTAGTTAATACATTGCAGTGTTCATAAAGTTCTGCTACTCTCACATTTGGTTTTCATGAACACAGGAAGCCTTTACAAACCATTCTTCAATAGAAGATACGAGTAACCACTTGCCAAACCTTGCCCACCTTTCAGTGATGGCTAACCTTTTCCAGACCAAGTGCCCAAAGCACGCCCGAACTCCCAAAATGCAATGCATGAATGTCCCCCATGCATGCACCCCCCCACGCACATGCACATGCACCCCCGCACTCGCCCTGCCCCCGCACATGCATGCACTGCCCCCCGCTCACACCCCACCCTCCTGTGCATGCACATGCCCCCCTGCACATGCTCCACTCCCCACGCATGCGAGGCAGAGACCAAAGACCAGGTGGCCAAGGGAGATGCATGTGCATACGCGGCGGAGTTGAACTGGGGCGACGGCTCGTGTGTCTACATAGAGGGCGCTGTGTGCCACCTCTGCCACGCATGCCATAGGTTCGCCATCATGCCTATAGCTTGTCGCTTGTCCATTACTTACTATCCCTCCCTGCTATAGCACAGAGATATAGCAGAGGAATCCACAACAGGGACAGGAAAGTATCTCCTCCCTTAAATATACACAGAACAGAAGCCAAATTTACCCAGTATTTACTTCTTCAATTCAGCAAAGTACATGCATCCTACTTTATTATTAGCAAATATGTTCAATATTCAAGAATTAAATGACTGTCCAAAATAAATCATAAGGCAAATACACCAGCAAAGCAATCATTGTTTGGACTCTGGACATTTGCCTACTGAACGATAATGACAATGGAAGTATTTCTATAGAACAGATAAACTTTAAAAAAGAAAATAAAAGTAATTAAAAAGTTCTACTAATATAATTTACTTACAAAGGAGGAAATCATTTCTGTTCTGGCTCTACGAAGAGCTTTCACAACTTGGAAAACATCGATTACATCTTCAGTCTCAGCACATTCCAAGAGATTTAGCAAAGCACAAAATACTCCCGTTTGTTTAGAACCATCACTATAAAAATATATATTAAATATATATATATTTATATGAAATCAAAAATATTGTTAACAGCAGCAGTAAAATGGAAAGACCAACAAAGCTTAAAATAGTAGAGGTCAAATTTATGACCACAATTGAGCCCAAAATTGATGTTGCTAAATGAAAAATTTGTTAAGTGAGTTTTGCCCCATTTTACAACCTTTCTTGCCACAGTTGTTAAGTGAATCATGGCAGTTGTCAAATTAGTAACACAGTTGTTAAGTGAATCTGGCTTCCCCATTGACTTTGCTTGTCAGAAGGTTGCAAAAGGGGATCACATGACCCCGGGACACTGCAACCGTCATAGATGTGAGTCAGTTATTAAGCATCTGAATATAAAAGTCACGTGACCACAGGGATGCTGCAATGATCATAAGTGTGAAAAATGGTCATAAGTCACTATTCAGTGTCGTAACTTGGAACAGTCACTAAGTGAACCGTAAATCAAGGACTACCTCTACAACATATGTACAACTACTATAGGAGAAATTAGAAAGAATTGCTAAATCCTAATTAGGAGGTCTCACTAGAAGTTCTTAAAATGTAGGCAAAAAACAAACAACTTACTTTGATATTAAAACAAATGTTACTACCATTTCTGAGATAAGTGAAGAAACAAAAAGAACATTCAAATCAATTAACAGTTCAAAGAATAATACAAGGGGGATTAAGAACAGTAATCCATGGTTCCTTGGAAATAGTTCCAAGAGATTAGTATTGAACCCTTGAATAATCGTTGAAGCCTTAAGTTTAGATTTAGGGTTCTGCGCAAAGTATAGATTATTGGATATAATTTAATCTTATTTTATTTTATTATTTATATGCTGCCCATCTTGTTCTCCATCTTGCTTGTTGGCTTATTGGTTACATATGTGAATTAACGAAGTGCAGTTGAACATGGTAGGTTTGTGCTTCCCTGAAAATATTTCATATTTTCTGAGCCTTGTCCAAATTTTTAATTATTAATCATTGTGTAAAGGTAGGTGAAAAGCAAACTATGGTTTAACATGTTTGTACACCGTCATGCTTTCAGAGCGCCACTTTTCTCTGTAGTAGCACCAAACTTTTGCTGAGTTGTCTCTATGAAGGAAGTGCTGTAGGCTTTCTGTAAGAACCTGAATTGCACAGGATTACAGGATTACAGATGTTTCATAGATTTGGATAAAACAGTTTTGAATTCAGAAAGAATGAATACTTATTCCGGAGTTTGGTATTCTGGCCAGGGGAGGGTTCTATTCACTTTTACTACTGGTGTGCGGGGCCGCGCACACGCTCACTTCGTTTGTGCACATGCGCTCTTCTGCGCATGCGCAGAAGCGTTCTGATGACATCGGGTCGGTGGGCGGAGCCTCCCTCCGGTTTTACTACTGGTTTTATAGAACCGGTCTGAACCGGGGGCAACCCACCACTGGTCCTGGCTAATATGTAGCCACCATGTTCAAGGATGTCATGTAGAAAAATAAACTCTAGACTAAAGCAGTATAGAAATCTGGGTAGGATCCAGACAGGATTATAAAATGGATATAAAATGAATAATTTAACTCCTTTTATCATAGCTGTATGCCACCAAGAGTCTCTTGTTTGTTAAATTGGTGGCTACATAAATTAGTTTAATTAAGCAATAAATAATGTTGCTTTTTAAAAACAAATAATTTATATAATAGCATGAAAGATTCGTTATCATTCCTGTCTGTGGAACAATGTGGTGTGCATTCTCAGAAGGGAGGGGCTGCTTTCCAAGGGCAAAAAGGCAGTGGACTTTGGAAAGTTTGGTTGGCAGGAAAAGAATTAAAATGGCTCCTTTTTAGCTTTTCCCAGAGTATATTGTAGTAATGCATATGGTTGCTTTAGTCTGGCAAGATTCTGTCTATAGGTGAATAATAATAAAGAAAATTACTGTTAAATCAATGTTGTTTCTTGGCCTGACATTATCACACTTTTATTTTTTTAGCAAGGGCAGAGCTTTCCTATTTATGGGACTGATACTATAAATTTGTACTCTGCCTCAGGATCAAGAACTATAGAACATAACCTACTCTGATATAAAGATGAAAGTATTATACATGCAACAGGCACACCTCAAAGCATGTCAAAATACCTCTAAAGGTGGTACCTACCCACAGTGGACAACAAGTGGAACGTTCTTGTTCTTGTTGGTCACATTTGCTTCAGCTGCAACTTGGGTTGAAAATTTCTGTTTGAGACTCTGGATCATGGTGATTAAGTCTTGGGGGGTTTCTGGGAGAGCAGAACTATCCCATTTATGGTACTGATACTGAAACACTTTTCTGCTGTCTTTCCTCTGTAACGAATGCAGATAGAACAAAACAATATATACATGTTTAGCGCTGAGGACCCTTACTTGTACATGCACAAAGATCAAAATATTGAACCTGGAAAGTCTAATAATGCTGACCCAAGTGATGACATTTGCTGCTGAAAGACTTCCTCAAAAGATTAACTAGAATCTTAGGAGCTATGAGCTTCTTTATTGAGGTTATGAAAGTATTTAATTGCTTAGTGCCTTGCTCCAGTTTGTCAAATAAAAAAAACGAGTTGATATTTCTGTTGCTGTGGGGGGTATCTTCTGACTGCAATAGAGACAGAATTCTCCTCTATCCAACGTTTCCATATAAAGAAAAACACCAACCTGCAACTTAGATGTAAATGACACAAACCTTTAAGTGGGATTTCCCACTAACATGTAGGTGACTCTCACAGACCTGTTCTCCAATATCTCATTGACTAGGCTATTTATACAATTTTTTTTTAAAAAAATGCTTTATATGCCGTCCTCCTCCGGAGACTCAGGGCGGCTTACAATGCGTTAAGCAACAATGAATGAAGGCAAATATATATGTCCTAAAATATTGTTGCAGGATCTAATCTGGGTCGGTTATTGGGACCAGAGGTTTAATCTTCTGAGTTTCAGATTCACGCTGGAACCCATCCTCAGGGAAATTCTTTCTGGCAGAATGTGTTGGAGAGAAGTTAGAAAGAAATTCCCAGAAGATGGCCTCCAGCATGAGTCCAAAAGCTTGGAACACTAAACCCCAGGTCCCTGTGACTGGCCCAGATTGGGTCCTGTCTCTACAATACTTGCTGTTTTGTACTTTCCTTTTCTCTGGTAACCGGTCAATGCTCATAGCTTTATTGTTATTGTTTCTATTTCTCCTCATGTGTTCAAACATATTGAAATGGTATACTTGAAAGAGTCACCACAAAATAAAATTATTTAAATAAAAAAATAAAATTACCTCAAAAAACGCCTTGGTAGTACAGTGGTCTAAAGCACCCTGTTATTAAGACCAGCTGCCTGCAATTACTGCAGGTTCGAATCTCGCCAGGCTCAAGGTTGACTCAGCCTTCCATCCTTTCTAAGGTAGGTAAATTGAGGACCCAGTTGTGGGGGCAATAAGCTGACTTTGTATAAATATACAAAAAGGATGAAGGCTATTGCTTAGCGCATTGTAAGCCGCCCTGAGTCTCCGGAGAAGGGCGGCATATAAATCAAATTTAAACAACAACAACAACAACCACCATACATAGGCAAGGGAAGGGAAGGGAAGGGAAGGGAAGGGAAGGGAAGGGAAGGGAAGGGAAGGGAAGGGACTCTATATCCTGGTTTAAATTCAAGATACATTCATAATGAGTTGGAGATCATTAGAATCCCCAGAAAATATGGTCAAGGTTCATCAAGTTGGCTGAATTATAATAGTTGAAGTCCAGCACTGCTGAAGAGCATCAAGTTGAGAAAGCAAGTTGCTATGAATGTGAATCCTATTTACATAACAGTAAATATGCCTTCTTCCTACATGCTACATTAAATAATTTGAACAACTATAGTTTGTCTCCAAGTTGTGTGCATTAAAATAAATGTTTGTTTATGTGTCTCCATCAGTTCAATATTTGAAAACATCTATAGTACTGTAGCATTTAAAATAAACCCAGAATTGCTTCATGATATTAATAACATATAGAAACAAACAGGGACACCAAAGGAAGTAGAAAATAAAACTTTAGAAGTGCAACCAAAAGCCAGAGACGAAGTAGATGAGGATGAATAAGTAGTCCTTTTACCTTTACGTGAGTTATGTCAAAGGCACGGATGGTGTAACTGGGGCTACAGTTGCTGTCTTTTAGTTCAACAGTGATATTATCATATGTTATTTTTTCTTCTTGCCAATATTGTGCACAGAGTTCCTAGAATTGAAGAAAGACCAAATCAGTGTGGAAGAAGCATACATGGAAATGTGGACAAAATAAAATGAGTTGTCTTGAATCAAATTATATAAGAGCAATATATAAGGTGGTCCTCAATTTGCAACCTTTTGTTTAGTAACTGTTTGAAGTTAAGAACAGCACTGAAAAAGGTGACTTATGACCATTTTTACAGTTATGACCTTTGACCCATGATCATGTGATCAAAATTCAGCTGCTTGGGAACTGGCTCGTATTTATGACAGTTGCTGTGTCCCAAGGTCATGTTTTGCGACCTTCTGGCAAGTTGGGGGGAAGCCAGATTCACTTAACAACCAGGTTGTTACTTACCAACTTACCAACTGCACTTAACAACTGAGGCAAGTAAAGTCATAAAATGGGGCAAAGCTTAGCAAACGTCTCACTGAACAACAAAAATTTTGGGCTCAATTGTGGTCGTAAGTCAAGGACTTACCATTTGCAACTTTCTCAAATGGTTTCCAACAAGCAAAGTCAGTGTGGGAAGCCAGATTTGCTTAACAACTGACTGATTCACTTTAACAACTGCAGTGATTCAGTTAACAACCATAGCAAAAAAAAAAGGTTGTAAAATCAAGTGCAACTCTCATAACAACCACCTTATTCAGCAAGGAAAATTCTGGTTACAATTGTGGTCATAACTTGAGAACTACCTGTACGTGGTATTCCATTGAGAAAAAACAGCCATTCACTTTCTCGGGAATAAGGTCACAAAGTGGATCATAGGACATAAACACTGAAGATCATAATTTAGTCATGTAGCATGTAAGACTATTTTACTAGTCTTATGTGTGCACAGACCTATTATTTAGATATGCAAAACTAGCGGTATAGTGAGAAATAGGAAACCAGGCTGAGGAAAACTAGAAATAAATTGACCGGATGAAATGTATGGATGCTTCTTTCACAAATTCTTGTAAATGCTAATGTAAATGTGAAAGGCCAGATAGCTTCAGGATATTTCATGCTGAATTGTCGATGATATTTAGGGAAAAGTTTGTTTAGTTTTTTAAATCAACCTAAGTTTGTATTTTCAAACTAATATATGAACTCAATACTATAACATACTGAATATCTTTTTCTAAACACATATTTCTTGATAAATGAAAATACTTAAATACTTACAATCAAGTCTTTCAACCTAGGAATAGGTGTCACTGAGCCTAGATTCAATCGGTATATTTTGTTTCCTAATGGATATGCTTTCAGTCAGGGTATGTCTACAGTGTTCGGTTTAGAGAATTGAAATTGGCATTTTTCCATATCAAAAACATCACAGTTTGACTATAGATAAATAAATTTGCTTACCTGATTGTCTGTCAACATAGCAATAACTTTGACTTTCTTTTGATAAATCATGTTCCAGAAGTCACCTATTGTTTCTGGAAGGGGTCCTTGTGTTGCTATAATTCCATTTTGAACCCAGTAACTCTGTTAAATAATTTAAAAAATGAAAATAAAAAAGAAATAATTAAAACCAATAGTATGAAAATATGCAGGAGTAACATCTACCAATACACATAAATTGAATACATGGTAAATTAAAGGAAAGAAATGAAAGATAAATCACTGTCTGACATCACTTAAAAGTTGGTAACTTGCTTTAAAGATCATCCATGCAATTGGGAGAAATCAAATAAAACCAAAAAAAAGAGCAAATTTCTGTTGATTTAGTTCAGTGGTCAGCAACCGTAAACACTTAAAGAGCCATTTGGACCCATTTTCCAAAGAAAAGAAAACACTGGGAGCCAAAAAACCCTTCCCATGCCTGACTATTTCCTGAGCGGCCACAAAACTAGCATATGTAGTTGAATTCAACGTTCTGTTTTCTTCTGAAACTTTTCTTTTCTTGGATTTCTCCATGGTTGGCCTACTGGGAGTCGAAAAGCTCAATAAATCGTGTGCCAGTGTGTGTTACACATTGGCGGTTGTGACTCATATTTAGTTAATTCCTGATACAAAGTTCAAGAAAGCAATATATATACTGATCCGCATGTTTTTACGTATCTATAAGTATCCATTGAAGCATGGTGGCTCAGTGGCTTAATGACGCTGGAGATGGTCTCAGCGCCAGCAGTTTGAGCCCAAGCAGGGTGAGTTCCTGAAACTCGCCCCAGCTTCTGTCCGCCTAACAATTTGAAAGCATGTTCTATGCAAGTAGATAGATAAGTATCACTTTGGTGGGGAGGCGAGCTGGTACTCTGTGCAGGCAGTCAGATACTTGATGGCTCTGAACCTTCCCAGTTGCATTGTCTATTTGCGAGGCAACTCCAGGAAGGGAGAGGCTTTGATTGACACTGCAGGAAGAGCCACTCATTTCTCTCTCTGGTGCGAAACCAGCTCGCCCTCCTGTGGCATGCCTTGGGAAACTTGAACATTTCCTATAACAAGTTGGTACCTTGGCAAGACAAACTACTACTCTGCAATAGCATTGCTGTCTCCTGGCTACTGTAGCAATGCCATATGCTAATAATAATAATATCTATTGAAAGTAGGAGGGGAAGAAAACAGATACTTTCTACCTCCATGCAAAGAAATCTTATAAGGACATTTTAGGTTTCTATGTTATGAAAAATGCCCTTTTCATTAAATGATTTTTTTAAAAAGTTGGAAAATAACTGTCACTTCAGAGACCTATGACAGTGGCAAAATGAATCAAGTAGACATACGGGTATAAAGGAAGCATTGATGTATTTATTGGGTTCCTCTTCACAGTCACTATCCTCATCAGATGAATCAACATCTTGTTCACTCTCTCTGTTCCCTTCTTCTTCGTGTCTGAATAACACTCTGTTGTAATCATCTACACCACAAGAAAGTCAGAACATACAAGTCAAATAGCTTCATAGAAGTTAATAGCACATCTCAGTTATTCATAAACCACTACAAAAGCTATGGCAGCTTATCAGCCCTCTTAGTCTAGAAGAAATTGTACAAAGAATTATTATAATCACACAAGCTAAATCTTCATTGGTGTTCCAGGTAGTCAGGCATGCTTGCTTGAGTCTATGATATTTCATGCCACTCTTCCACACTTCTCATTCTCATTCTCATTCTCGCTCTCACTCTTGTCTTCTACAGCAGTCAATCAGCATTCCTTGGCCACTAAATAACACCACTAAATCTTATTGGGCTACTTCGGAAAATGTGCACCTTCATTGGGTACAAACGAAGCAGCCCACTTCCTGCCAAACAAAGGTCAGCCTAGGTATTTAGTATTTATGTTGTAAGCTCTGAGTTGGTCTGCTAAAGTTCTTATGTCTGTCTATTTGTAACCATCAATTGGGTGAAACGGTGCATTGTAAGGCAACAGTTTTTGAACCAAGGTACCTCAAATGGGCGAACTTACAGAATGCATCCAAATCTAGGATCATTACACTCATAGGATTGAAATTTGGAAATGTTGTGCCCACTTCAGCACTGCCATGCTGACACACTGCTGTGGTCAGCCATGGTCACATGAAGTCATTTCCAATGTTCTCTGATTGCTTTCTATAAGTCAATGGGGAAGACAGAAGGACAGGCACTGGGGAAACCCAGATCCTGGTTCATCCTTAGCCATGGAAACTCACTGAGTAACTTTGAGCCACTTTACTCTCAATCCAATCTATCTCACAGGGTTGTTACTCTGGGGAAAAACCAGGAGGAGGAATTAACCTGTACAACATTTTGAGTCCTTATAAAAAGTGGATATAAAATTAATTAATAAATAAAGGTGATTGGGAAGACTTGGAGTTGTAAAACTCCAAAGGAACTAAAAATGCATTCATTCATCTTATATTTCTTGATCCCCCCCCCAAAAAAAATTGATTGTCTTGCTTAGATGACTAAGGCAAAATCTAATATTTTTAGGGGTCTTTTACAAATTACTTGGAGAAATGTGTGACTTCTCACAGGAACAGAAGATGCAGAAAGAAAGTTTCCATGCAGTTTGTTATAAAAGGTCTAAGCAAATTGTTTTAAAATGTAATATTTTTTAAAATTCCAGGGATCAGTTTGAGCAGTAAAACTCAGAATGTGCAGATTTCCCCTTGCAATACTCACATGGAATTACTGTGGCACTCCGGTTTTTCTGTGTGTTCTCTGGTTTTCTACCAACTTTCTGATTCTGCCAGTTCCTGTATAAAGGCAGTCGCTAAAAAAACAGATGTACCAAAGAAAAGTTAGAGTTAAGCAGAAATTCTAAACTGTATCTCACCACTATGCTATGTTTGCTTAATCTTAAATGCCAATCAACTAAAATGAGCAGAAACCAACTTGCAATGATGCAGAGTATTAACATTCCCGCCTCTGCTTAAAATTAAAGTGTTAGTTTAGCAGTCATTTGCTGTATTTATTTTATTTCATTCATTTATTCATAAAAAAAGGAGTCCCTGTGGATTTTACTCTGCTAATCGTTGCTGACTATAGGAGATGGTTCTCATCATTTCAAGGCCGTGTTATGCTGGTTACATGGCCAGCATGACATCACAAAGTGCTGTTACCTTCTCACCAAAGTGGTACCTATTTATCTACTTGCATTTGCATGCTTTCGAACTGCTAGGTGGGCAGGAGCTGGGGTGAGGTGAGGACCTGAGCACCCCATTGCAGGGTGCTCAGGTCTCAAACCTGCCAGCTTTCCAGCTGCTAAGTCACTGCGCTTCCTCATTTAATTATATCCCATCTTTATTATTATTATTATCAGAAATAACTCAAGCCAGAGAACATACCCAACATACCTTCTTCCTCATATTTTCCCACAATAGCAACCCTGTGAGGTGGATTGGGGTGAAAAAGAGTGGCTGTTCTAAAGTAATCCACAGTTAATGAACCCACAGTTCGTTGCTTTCTAGTCTGGTGCCTTAACTAGTAGACCAGGGGTCTAAACACTCAAAGAGCCATTTGGACCCATTTCCCACAGAAAAGAAAACACCGGGAGCCACAAAACCCTTCCCATGTCTGACTATTTCTTGAGCAGCCACAAAACTAGCATATGTAGTTGAATCAAACGTTCTGTTTTCTTCTGAAACTTTTATTTTCTTGGATTTATCCATCGTTGGCCTACCAGAGGTTGAAAAGCTCAATAAATCGTATGCCAGCAAGTGTCGCACATTGGCAGTTGCGACGCATATTTTGAGTGATAGGGAGCCACAGCAGAGGAGTGAAAGAGCCACATGCGGCTCCAGAGCCGCAGGTTGCTGACCTCTGCACTAGACTAAACTGGCTGTCTCTGTATGTCCAGAGAAAGAAATCCTATTTACCTGAAATTCAGCTTCCAGCAGAGATGGATCACTGAGCGAATCCTTTTTCTTTAGCTGGCTGAGATAATTGGGCAGTTCTGAAACAAAGACCTCTGTTTCGCCAAATTGGACATATTCAACCAAAGCGTGATGGATCAAGATGTACTGTGCCTAATGGATCCAAGGATTGCAGAGTTTGTAAATGGTAGAAATGGAAAGTTGCAATAAAAATGGGACTGGTAATTGAATCAATTCAACATTGCATAAAGTAAAATACAGTGCTACCTAGGTACTCAACATTAACTGGTTTGGGGAGGCACAATGACTATCGAAACTGATGAGTACCAAACAAATTTTTCCCATAAGGAATAATGTAGTGAGTCACAAGGCACACACAGACAAATTCTGGCTTGTGCATTGACTACTAAACAAACAATGTGTACCAGTACAAAATTTTCACCTAAAAATTCATTGAATACCAAATTAGATGAGTTTCAAAGCAGCTGAATATCAAGATATCACCATATTCTATTCGAAATAAAATTCTTTTAAATGCCCATAGCAGAGGTGGGTTTCAGCAGGTTCTGACCAGTTCTGGAGAACCGGTAGCAAAAATTTTGAATAGTTTGGAGAACCGGTAGTAAAAATTCTGACTGGCCCCACCCCTATCTATTGTCTGCCTCCCAAGTCCCAGCTGATCAGGAGGAAATGGGGATTTTGCAGTATCCTTCCCCTGGAGTGGGGAGGGAATGGAGATTTTAAAGTATCCTTCCCCCTTCCATGCCTACCAAGCCACACCCACCAAGCCATGCCACGCCCACCAAGCCACACCCACAGAACTGGTTGTAAAAAAATTTGAAACCCACCACTGGCCCATAGCATATATGTTAAATGGACTTGGTAGGAACTCTGTTTTTTAAAAAAAATGTTGGACATAAGCAAATTCTTATTTTTGAATTCTATGGTTTTTGTTGCAGAAATATATACAGTTGTGGGCAAGTGAAGTAAAATATCACAATATAACAAAGGTGAGAATGATCTCAAACATTACAGAAAGGCAGTGCTAATTAATCAAACTCTTTAAATATACCTCCACTTGAACCATGAGGCATCGCTGACGCCGTAATTTTGCAATATATCCATATACATCGACTCGTCCTTCAGCCTCTAATCCCTCCAGCATTGCATCAATCCCAATATAGGTTCCAGTGCGTCCTACACCAGCACTGTCATAATTGTAAAAAAAAAGAAGAAAACGCAACAAGCATCATTCAAGCTGCTGCTGTTAAAATTGACAGATTATGGGAAACATGCTGAGATTTGCCCTTAAATCAGTTCAACTGAACTCACAGAGATTTTGATGTCTGATAAATTTATTCCTCTAGTTACACATTTATAACATCCCTTTTATTGTTTAAATTGTTAAGTAAAGTTTAAGCAAATGTATTGCTTAAGTCGTTTAGTAAAAATTGTGTGTTCTTATCACTTTGCAGGTTTTATCAGTATCATCTAACTGCATGTGTAAAGGAAGATCGATTTGAGCACAAGCTTATTGAGCAAAACTTATTTTACCTGCAATGGACTACTATTGGGCCACTAAAGAAGTTGCTTAAAATATTGACTCTGCGCCGCAGCTTGAGCAGAAGATGGGGGTCATCGGGTACCCCGTGATCTGGCCAGCTTGTAAATTGAATGTGGGTCACATCTCTTCCTGATGACTTGTCTCTTCTCTGGAAAAAAAAAAGTCAGTTTAATGTGAGTTATATATCAAAATGTCCATGTAGCAAACATTGATTAGTATGACCAGCGGTGGCTTGCCCCCGGTTCGCACCGACCCCGACATAATCAAAATGCTTCTGTGAATGTGCAGAAGAGTGCGTGCACGTGGCCCCCTTGCGAACCGGTAGTAAAGGTAAGTAGAACCCACCGTTAAGTATGACATAGGCCAGAGGCGAACAAGATTATGAAATGCCGTCAACATGTATTCATCCCAGTGACTTTTGTTAGGACTTCTTCAGCATAATCCAGTATATATAACCCTAACCCTAACCAGGCAAAATTTACATAGTAGCTATGTAGGTATGGGATAAAGAAAATGAGATATGTATCAATAAACCACTGGTCCACATCTCATGATTCTAAGGATTTGGATATTATAATTATCATCTGATGTTACATTAACTGTCTCATAGATAATATCTAGTTCTGTCAGCCCCACCAGGTACACTAGAGAAAAAAATCAATTCCATTGGAAGACTAAAACTATACTTTATTGACATGGGCTATAATAGCAGATATAGTTGCAATTCTCTTTGTTATAGTCCAGTAAATCAGGAAGTCATTTGCCTGAGTTCCTTCCAGATATTATCTTGTTTCTCAGTACCTGAAGAATGGTTCAGTCCTCTTTGGCTAGGTAACAGTTCTTGCATATTCTGACAAGGCCATCCCCCTTACTTTCTACAATTATTAAGCAAACGCTTACAAGTTTTTTAGTGTTCTTACTTACATGGTTGATATGCAGCTTCTGAATAATGTAATCTGGACACACTTTGCATTCATTTATGCTTACTATAATGTCCCCATAAGATGCAGTCTCCTCTTCCATTGATGGCCAATACTTGGCACATTTGATCTATGGAAATACAAAGACAGTCAACTATTTTGGCAGGATGGAACAGACACATTCTGCTTTATTGCTAAACTAATCGGTTGCATAGATTTTCAGTTTGTTAATGCATTTTCCCGAAAATAAGCTCTCTCCCAAAAATAATCCCTCCCTGAAAATAATCCCTCCCCTGAAAATAAACCCTCCCCTGAAAATAAGCCCTCCCTGAAAATATTTAAACCCATACACAGCCGGTCCCCACCATTTCCTCTGTTTAGGGTTAGGGAGACAGAGCTGGAAATCAGATAAGACGGCTAGAGGAGCCCCATCTTGCTCCATGTGCCCCAAAATAATAAGACCTCCCCAAATATAAGGCCAAGTGCTTATTTCAGGGTTCAAAAAAAATATAAGTCAGGGTCTTATTTTGGGGGGAAAACGGTATTGGTATATCACCCTAATGACACCTTTACACAATGATCTCGATTAGAGCAAAATATATTTAGATTAAAAAGAGCCATGGTGGCACAGTGGTTAGAATGCAGTATTGCAGGCTAATTCTGCCTACTGCCAGGAATTCAATTCTCACTGGCTCAAGGTTGACTCCGCCTTCCATCCTTCTGAGGTTGGTAAAATGAGGAGGCAGATTGTTGGGGGCAATATACTGACTCTGTAAACCGCTTAGAGTGGGCGGTAAAGCACTGTGAAGCAGTATCTAAGTCTAACTGCGATTGCTATTGCTAGATGGGTGTATGCTGCATATCAAGCTTGGCCAAAGCCAGGTGAAGACACTAAAATAGTTGTTCACTTTTATGCCTTCTAGGTAGCATGAATAAAAAACAAGTCACACCAGAAAAAAAGATGGCAGCAGTTAGAAACTAGTTTAACCTTCAAATCAAATTAAATCTTTTTTTATGGCCCTATACCAGCGTAGATTTACCATTAGCATAGATAAGAACTATTTTCTACTCTTGTTTCTCCCATTCCAGTTTTGTAACCGCCTTTTCACTGAAACAGATTAAGTTGCTTAAATATTACACTTAATAAAACAAACGGCAAACTGCAAAACCTCAAGACCCTTATTATCATTTCAGGTAGCTTATAGCAAAGAAGTTTCCTACTAAATTAATCAGCTAAGCAAATTGTGTCAACTTTCAAATAGCCATTGACACACTAGAATAATGGATGGTTTAAAAGTGGGATTTTTTCCCAAGTAAAGGAACTAATAAATAACACAATGGGTATTTTCTGCTCACCTTGCTGCCTTCCTCACAGCGAGTCACCATGACAACAATGGTTGCTTTTTGTTCCCAGATCATTCTCCAGAAATCATCTATTGTCTCTTCCTTGGGACCTGCCAAAAATATTACTTTGATCACGTGAAGCATTTCAAGGTGATAATTAGGGATGGGCTAATTTGTCAACTGAAATGTCGCCGAGTTTTCCTTTCTCCAGCCCTAAATGGATTGCATCTCACAGCTTCTTTGGTTTTTCCACAGCATGAATATTTGAAAAAGCGTTCTTTTTCTGTGGTTAGCAGAACATGATTTTCTCCAAATCGAACTAGCACAGGAGAAACACGCGTGCAAATATTCATAGTCATGCATTTTTGTATATTTTAATAATAATAATTTATTAAACCTGTATGCTACCTGACTCTGACATTTTTTCCTAATGTACGCTTGTTTTAGAAGGAATTTTCATTATATCCATGCACATGTATTTAATTCTATTTACAGGACTCATAGCAGTTGTGGGTTGCCTCCGGTTCGGACTGGTTCGCAAGAACCGGCAGGAAAACTGGCAGGAGGCCCTGCCCACCGCCCCGGATGTCAACATCGGCGATCTGCGCATGCACAGATCCCATTGTGAACCGGTAGTAAAGGTAAGTAGAACCCACCCCTGACTCATAGGTCACTCCGATTAGTTGGTCTTTGTCTCTGATATATGTATAAGGCATTAACTGTTTACTTTTTATCTGAAACATGAATAGTATTTGGCAGAATTTAAAGCAAAGTTCTTTCAGGAGCTATTTTAAGTAGATTGTACTGAAATGGTTGGGATAGTTTTTTATTGCCTTCTAGATGTAGTAGGTACCCAAAATCTAGGCAATTAAGTATTTCCTGATTGTGTTGCTAAATAAAATTTGTTGACTCTCAGACTTTCAGCTAATTTTGTATCAAATAACAGACAAGATTGGAGAATACTGCACAATTTCATATAGTCTAATTTTAGTTTGCTGTTTAAAAATTCCATAGCAACCTTTGAATTAATTTGAAAAGAAATGAAATTGCCATTCTTAACCAGCACATAATATCAAATGAAGACATTTAAACTGTATTATAATTTTAAAATTCTAAAGGTTTGGTGTTTTCATTATTTTTGCCTTTCCTTTTTGCTTTATTTGTAACTTTTTTTATTTTTTTTATTCTTCTCTATTTATTTTATATTGTTTTCACTCAATACCATTTATTTTAATTAAGCATAATGTCTTACTAAAGAACAGAAATTAAGAGGTTAAAATGGCACTTATTATCAAGAGTTACCTACAAATCAACATCTTAGTAAAACCCAATGTAAATATTGACAAGTTTTTGTATAACAAAAATTATATGCAGCAAAAGAATGTATTTTTTAAAAAAATGTTTCTATGGTTTTTTTAAATTGCTCCCTTAATTGCTCCCTTTTATATATTATTTTTACATACTACACACACACACACACACACACACAAATACACAAATATATTTCAGTTGGAATATTCCACACAAAAAAGTGCTGTTGAGTTTTGTCCAAATCAGTCCCTTAGATTTTGAAGCCATGATGTTCTTCTGCCTGGATCTTGTTTGCCTTCAATCTTTCCTTGGAGGATTAAGTGAAGTATATATACATATTCCATACTCCAAGTGAAAAAAGTAAACTAAAATAAAATATGATGGTTCTTTGCTGTTTTCTGAGCTGAACCAAGTTCAGATAACAAGAAACCCCAATTTCAGTCCTGAGCTACAAATATTATCCTTTATTGACAAAATAAAATATTTACTATTAATTGCTACTAAATTGAATGTCTTAATTTTTTAAAAAAATTAAAAATTGTTAAAAAAAATCAGAAAGTGGTTTTTTAAAATGCTTTTAACTATTAAATTGTTTCCTGGATTTTGCAAGCTACCAAGAGCCTGATGGAATGGGTGGCTTTAACAAACAAATAAATAACTCAATCCTTAGAGATGGTTAATAAGAACCAACTAAACCTGACTTTCTTTTCAATGTGACAGCTAGTTAGATCAGGGGTGAAATCCAGCCGGTTCTGACAGGTTCTGGAGAACTGGTAGTGCAAATTTTGAGTAGTTTGGAGAACGGGCAAATGCCACCTCTGGCTGGTCCCAGAGTGGGGTGGGAATAGAGATTTTGCAATATCCTTCCTCCAGGAGTGGGGAGGGAATGGGGATTTTGCACTATCCTTCCCCCGCCATACCCACCAAGCCACACCATGCCCACCAAGCCACGCCCACAGAACCGGTAGTAAAAAAATTTGGATTTCACCACTGAGTTAGATACATATTTGATCAACTTTGTACTATCTATGGAACTGAAATAAATTAATCCCTAGTGATGGTTACCATGAACCAGCTAAAGATAAATCTATGGAACTTAAAAAGTTTATTATTTTGCACGTTCTTATGCATGTAAAGGAACACATTGCTCTCTAGGATAGAAAGAATAATGGATGGGCGAGTCGTAATGTAGAATGGGACGGAAATTTCCACCCCAGTTTGTTTTGTGGTATGGAACAGCATCACCATTTTGCTTGGCGGTCTACTCAGAGAAAATAGAGGTAGCAATGATTGTATTAATTCACTTCTACGTGCTATTCAAAGTCAGAAAGATAATACAAACCTTGTGCAGCAATGTATTTTTTCATTTCTTTAAAACCCTGTGATAGAAAGTCATATATTATTATCTTGCATGTACGGGCTCAGAAAAAAAAATATTTGCACAAACTGAAATTAGAAGGTGATGAATAATGTCTGACTATGAGTTTGCACATTTTAAATGAAAGTCACTCACATCGATATAGCTTGCATTTATGTAGTCATATCCCTGCTCCCCAGGGCTTGACTTAAGCTCCACACGATTGTAGTCATCTTTTCATATGGAAACAAAAAAATCAAGACCAAGAATGTCAATCAATCAATATTGTTAGTTTGGTATAATTTTTGAAAGCGGGCAGGGGAACAAGAAGTTGAAAAGTTCATGTTTACATGATGCACTTACAAGGGAGGATATCGATGTAACGGTTCTTGTTCTGGTTATAAGGCTTGCGTGCTTCTTTTATGGGGTATTTACTGAAGACTCTGGGAATGCTCTGCAAAAGGCAATATGCATCTGAGCCAAAAAACTTTAGGTAAAAAACATTATAAACTCAGACAAAGAGGATGAGTTACTGAATCCTTGTTTTTGTTTTTGTTTTTTCTGGCTATTCTGAATCCAGTTTTCTATTTTCATTTGTTTAGCATAAGATCAACTTTATCTACATAGGAGAAAAAAAACCCCTGACTACAAAAATATCATACATTTGAGCCTATGAATTAAAAAGAATAAATATTTGACCTTTACAGGGAGGAGTCATAAAATATGGGTGTGGCTGGCCGATGAAGTCCAAAAAGACAGAAATAGTGCTATCCCAGTCTCCCATAAATCTCAGAATAAACAACACAAAATGTCTGACAGGCCTGAAAGTGATGATTGGAGATATCATCCCACTATGGCCATTTAACAACTTTATCTACATAGGAGAAAAAAAACCCTGACTACAAAAATATCATAATATATATATATATATATATATAATATATATATATATATATATATATATATATATATATATATATATACATACACACACACATATATACATATATATACATATACATATACATATACATGCACATGCACATGCACATACACATACATACATACATACATACATACATATATATATCCCTATTCAGACATATCTAATCTTCCTGATATTGAAAGGGAGTCTTTTATTATGACTCTGCAATCTCCTGCTTTGGGGTGGGGTCAGGATGACTGATTGGAACTGAGTGTTTATTGGCCGGATGACCTTCCTGATGCCTCTGCGGAGTTTGCAGCAGACAATTACTCATTGCACCCAGAGAGAGAAATATCTGTTGCTACCTAGGATTGAACCCACAGTCTCCTGATTGTGAAGCAAAGCTCCACCTCTAGACGACCACACTGCTCCCTGATATTGAAAGGGAGTAAAAGAATTAAAATGTGTGAGACCGTTAGGGTGGGAACCAGTGGTGGGTTTCAAAATTTTTTACTACCGGTTCTGTGGGTGTGGCCTGGTGGGCATCGCATGGCTTGGTGGGCATGGTGGGCGTGGCAGGGGAAGGATACTGTAAAATCTCCATTCCCTCCCCAATCCAGGGGAAGGTTACTGCAAAATCCCCATTTCCTCCCAATCAGCTGGGACTCGGGAGGCAGAGAATAGATGAGGGCGGGGCCAGTCAGAGTTGGTATTTACCAGTTCTTTGAACTACTCAAAATTTCCACTACCAGTTCTCCAGAACTGGTCAGAACCTGCTGAAACCCACCTCTGGTGGGAATGATCTACTAAAAAAAGTTAACCACCAACACCATACATAGACCCTCCTTAGATTTTTGATTGGGATACTAACCTGAAATTCATCCAGAAAAAGCCTTCCTTCATCTGCTATTTTTGTTTTATAAGCTTCCCACAATAATTCTGCAGGAATTGGGTCTATGTTCTTCATGTGTCTTTCATCATCTTTAAAAGAGGTAGAAAGAAACACTTCCAGATAAGCATATGTGCATTGCTTCTGATATGTGCAATGAAACTGTAATTTAATACATGCTTGAGCACATGTGTCAAAATTATTGAATGGGTTTGCTGCATGAACCCAGTGAGCTAAACTTTAAAATTTACCACTCAATTATTCAATGCAAGGGCATTTAATTCACTTATGGCATATGAATTTAAGCCTTCACAGTAACAGTAGAGAAGCGAATAAAACAGCACCTAAAATTAATATGATCATGCAACTGTAATTTATAACAATGATTTTTTCCATCTTTCCTTTTGGAGCCTTACATTTGCCAAGGTTGAGAACACTGAGATGAAGGAAGCATACGTTTTTCCTGTACTTATTCCTTTTTTTCAGGGGAAAAAAAGTTATACATGGATATTACTTTTAGATACTGTTTTTAACATTCTTCAATGGTGCTAATTGCATTTTTTTAAAAAAATCCCTATGTAGCTACAAAGGCTTTGAAATTTGTTTTGATCAAGGATCAGGAAAGAATTAGTCTTTTCCCACATATTGTATAGTTTTTGTGATGCTAATCAGGCCACATTCTGTTTACAATCCAGCCTGAATTAGAGCAAGATGACTTTTATGTCTTATTGAAATTGGTCCTCATTTGCAAAGGGAAAAAAAAGTCTTTTAGAGTACCTAGTTTAGCACATGTGTTCTTTATCTTAGAAACTCTTGAAAAGGCTCTAAAGAAATATGAAATTATGCTGAAATGAAGTTTAGATTCACTGCTTCAAATGACATCATAATAAAGCTAACACTTCATTTGTGAACAAAACAGAAAGAATAAACTAAATAAGATAAAGAGTGGCCCCTGCTTTTTACAATTATTTTCACAATAATAATGAGGGTGTGCTAATTCCATTGATATATAGGCCATGTATCCACTGATATAAAAAGGGAGACAACATTGTCCTTAGAATTTCTCTTTGTTGCACCATAGTTCAGAAACAAGGCAGGAAAATGCATCAGGATAGAGAAGGGGTGTCAAACTTGTGACCCATGGGCTGGATGCGTCACACACTGGCCACCCCATCCCTGCTTAACAAAGGGGGGGAAAGTCACGATACGTCACATGATGACAACGTGATGCCATGAGTTTGACACCCCTGGGATAGAGAATTCCATGGGGCTTTATGAACATCTGAAAAAACTTTCATAGTGTTGTGGTCCGCCAGCAGCCTGTGGAGCTGGCAGCGGAGTCGGACAGCGATGAGGCTGAGGAAGAACATGGGCCAGTCCTGGAGGCTTGGGGAAGGCCCGGATGAGGGCTCTGCGTCAGAGGCAGAGATGGGACCAAGGCCATCAGGGAGTGATGTGCGGACTTCGGAGCCTCCAGAGGCTGACAGTAGAGAGGCAGAGGAACAGGAGGAGCCTTTTCCTAGTGCATGTAGGAGAAGAGCTGCCCGAAGGCAGGAGCAACTAAAGCAGAGAGGATGACTTGGGAGTAGGGCCAAGAGATGATTGGCCCCTCTCATAAGGCTTAAAAGACCAGCAACGGCTCTTGGCCTCTTTGCCGGAAAACCACCATTGAGAGATTTGCTTTGTGTTTGGATGTATTTCTTTCTTGTCAGCATCTTCTGTTCCTGAACTGTTGCCAAGAAAAGCCTTTGGCAGTTTGCCTAATTATTCCAAGGTCAGAGATAAACTGAAGAATGGTGTTTTGAGAACTTTGCTTTCATTTAATTTGGAATACGCTGAGAATGAGTTAATTCTCAGCTATTTTAATAAAATCTTTGTTTGTTTTTTGGAACTGTTTTGTATTTAATACTAACTACCTGGGCCTGGTTCACAACACAAAGGATCTCGTACTTTCTAGTTTTGTCTTTAAATATTTACCTCTGGTTACAAGCCTTACTCCTTCTTCTTCATCCCTGCAAAAAACATCAAAGAGATAAGACTGAATGGTGAGAACAAAATATTACTATTTTTCAATAGATGTTAATGAGCACACTGGTGTGGTCAGAATGTGAGCACATTAAGCCTTCTTTCTAATTCTGCTACTCCAGCTTTGAAAAAGAGCAGGTTCCCCTTCTATTCACACAAGACCCAGAATAGTAGAGTGTGCTCCCCTGATGCATATTGACAACTATTTCAAATGCCACTTATTTATTTTTTTAGATAAGCTTGAGGACAGCCTCACCCCTGATATACAACCAAGCATATTCCTGAACTACAATACCATCAATGGTGGGTTGCTACCGGTTTGCTCAGGATCTGGTGAACCGGTAGCGGCAGCGGCGGGACGCTCCGCCCACCCGCCCAGATGTGTCTGTGCATGCGTCCACGAGCGAACTGGTAGTTACGGGATTTGAATCCCACCACTGAATACCAAGTCATTAATTGATTCCCCTGGAGACCACTTGAAACTGGTTTCACCCTATTTGCAGATCGTAAGACAGGCATAGCTTCAATGCATGGCTCAGATACTTTTACCGGGGTTTGAACCTGAAAAAATCTCCATATGATGATTGTGTTAAGGCAGGGCACTTAATTCTAGAGCTATAGGGACACTTGGTGTCAAGAATTGGTAGGAAGGTCTATGTATTCCATGTACATAATAAATACACAAACATCTGGCTGCTTATTGGGAAAAAGTGGGGGGGGGACCCAAAAAGGACAGAAAAATAAAAGGTCATCTCCTGGAAGAAAACTTGCTGACTGGAACTGAACTATTCAATCAACATCTTTCTAAATGTTTAATCGAAGTACAGGTTCATTATGGTTATTGATCATTTTTTTAAAAATAAATCTAAAATTACTAAGTTCCAAGAAGAATAAAAACCAAAAGAAAAGGTAAATAAATGAAAGAAGTACATAAGCGATATTTATGATACTAAAAAGAGATTGCAAATAATGTTAAAGAGAAATAAGTTCTAAAAAGAAAATATCACTTAAGTATTAAGAGCTAAATTAAGAAGGCCAAAATATTAATACAGGTAGTCCTCAACTTGAAACATTTGTTTAGTGACTGTTTGAAGTTCCAACAGTGCTGAAAAAATGAGTTGTGACTAGTCCTTGCACACACAACTATTGGACCATCCTCATGGTCATGTGACCCAAAATTATTGACATAAGTGCACATGGTACTTGTGTCATGGGATCATGGGATCACAATTTGAGATCTTCCTAGTTGGCTTCCAATAAACAAAGTCAATGGGGGAAGCTGGATTCATTTAATGACTGTGTGATTTATTTAACAGCTGTAGTGATTCACTTCTGCGATGATTCAGTTAACAACCGTAGCAAAAATGTCATAAAATTGGGCGCAACTCATTTAACAACCATCTTGTTTTGCAACGTAAATTCTGGTCCCAATTGCGATTGTAAATTGAGGACTATCTGTGTAAAACAATGCCCCTCAGAAAATCAGAATTGCAATGAACTTCCATAAAATCGAAAGAAATCAATCAATTGAGTGGAGGGGGATAAAGAAGTGTAAGTAGTTAAAATCTGGAAGGCTTTGGTCTCTAACTTGAATGCAACTAACTGTAATTGTGATAATAATAAAGAATTCTGTCTATAATTTTGTGCAAAATTTTCTATGATTTTCTGCAACAGAATGACAATGTTAATTGTACAGTTCATTTGCAACAGGGAAGCTCCCCAAGTGGTCAGGGGCAGACATTTGTAATGGGGCAGATCAGGGTGCAGTTTTCCTATTGTTGTCATGCACACATAGGAGAAGAAAAGAATACATTTCACAAAGTTACCTTGAGTTTTTTCTGTTAAGAATGTATATTTTATACAGGACAAGAAGTAAAGCCAAAACTGTTACAATAATCAGGAATGCCAAGAATCCAATGACAGCTTTAGTATTATCTGTAGAATGAAATGAAATGAAATGAAATGAAATGAAATGAAACAAAGGCAGAGGTGGGTTTCAGTAGGTTCTGACCAGTTCTGGAGAACCGGTAGCGGAAATTTTGAGTAGTTCAGAGAACCGGTAGTAAAAATTCTGACTGGCCCCGCACCCATCTATCCTCTGCCTTCTAAGTCCCAGCTGATCAGGAAGAAATGGGGATTTTGCAGTAACCTTCTCTTGGATTGGGGACAGAATGGAGGTTTTACAGTATCTTTCCCCTGGAGTGGGGTGGGAATGGAGATTTTACAGTATCCTTCCCCTGCCACGCCCACCAAGCCACACCCACCAAGCCATGCCATGCCACGCCCACCAAGCCACACCCACAGAACCGGTAGTAAAATGTTTTAAAACCCACCACTGAACAAAGGTTTTAGGAAATGTCAACATTTTTTATTTATTTAATTTATTTTATTTTATTTTGAATTTGTATACCGCCCTTCTCCCTGAGGACTCAGGGCGGTGAACAGCCAAGTAAAAACATCAAATACAAATATTAAAATACAATTAAAAGATATTTATAAATTTGGCCCCATTAATTAAAAAACAATAAACAAAACAATTAAAAACACTTAAAAAATTAGGCCAGCCCGGCTTGCTGGAAAGAGAAGGTTTTAAGGGCACAGCGGAAGGCACTGAGGTCTTAGATTCTCCTTATCTCTGGGGGCAACTGATTCCAGAGAGTAGGTGCCCCCACAGAGAAGGCCCTCCCCCTGGGGGTCACCAGCCTACACTGTTTGGCTGATGGCACCCCGAGGAGGCCCTCTCTGTGGGAGCGCACGGGTCGATGGGAGGTCGTTGGTGGCAGCAGGCGGTCTCGAAGATAGCTAGGCCCTATGCCATGGAGCGCTTTAAAGGTGATAACCAACACCTTGAAGCGCACCCGGAAGACCACCGGGAGCCAGTGCAGCTCACGCAGGAGCGGTGTTACATGGGAGCGCCATGCTGCTCCCGTCACTACCCGCGCTGCTGCGTTCTGGACCAGTTGGAGCCTCCAGGTGCTCTTCAAGGGGAGCCCCATGTAGAGAGCGTTGCAGTAGTCAAGGCGAGAGGTGACGAGGGCATGAGTGACTATGCACAGGGAATCCCGATCAAGAAAGGGCCGCAACTGGCGAATCAGGAGAACCTGACAAAAGGTCCCCCTGGTTACAGCAGTCAGATGTTCCTCCAAGGACAGCTGCGTATCCAGGAGGACTCCCAGATTGTGAGCCCTCTCTGTGGGGCTGATAACAAAATGATTTTGTTATCATCTTGTGTTTTCAGTATGCAAATTAAACTAATCAGTAAATTAAAAGGAATTTTTAAAATGTAAACATACATTTGGTGGTTATATTTTCCAATATTGGCTCTGTAGAATAATTTCCATTGGAAACGGATACCTGATAAGAAAAAGAAAAAATTAATGTAGAGATCTGAAATGCACAAAAAAACGAATTGTTGTATAAATTTTCTAAAATCTTCTATGAAAGCTATACGATATGAAATATACCACCTTCATTAAGAATATAAACGTCTTAATGAGCTGTAAGAATCAGCTCAAAAATACAAAATAGAAATAAGAAAATATATATTACACCCTGCCCTCATTTATGAGGAAGATGAAAACTTTGATACTATAAAAAAAAAAAAAATGCAACGGAAAAGCTAGCCAAGTGTTCAATGCCAAATACAATGTTAATTTTAAGGAAATGGCTGTGGATGCTTGGCTGTTAATGAATTAATTTATTCAATTAGCAATTTGACTGTACTCGATTTAGTTTAGTTTAAAAATGGTTGCAGGGTTAAGGTTGTAGTTAAGATAAGGTTGTAGTTACTACATCTGACCAAAGGGATAAAAGATACACTCGGTTCTTGAAACTATTTGTCAATTGACAACAAACTAATGACAATGATACAGTAGTGGCCAAAATTGTGGAAACCGTTTGGGAAAAGTGTATTTTGGAGGTCTGATGACTAATAACACCACTTTTTTTTTTTGGAGTTTCAAGATAATCATATTCCACTGCTGGAATGGCCTGAGAATAGCCCAGACCCTAACCTAATTGAAAATCTATGGAGCCGACTAAAGAAACTTGTTAGTCAGAGGTGACCCAGCAATAAAACCCAGTTAATAGAAGCAATCATTGAATCTTGGTTTCACATTATAACAGCTGCAGAACTAAAAGACTTGGTTCACTCCATGGGAAGATGTTGTAAGGCCGTAATTCATGCTAAGGGTTACCCAACTAAGTATTAACTGATGTGATAATTTTTATATATCTCATTTTTCTATGGTGATAATTTTTGTATGTCTCGTTTTTTCTATGCGCTTCACTTTTCTTCTTTATACTGTAACTGCTATTTTAATAGCAAATCCTTCATAAAAGTTACCGCATTACATTCTTGATTAAATTATCTTTCCATTGATATATAATTTTATGGTACTACTTAAAAAAAAAGTGGTGTTATTAGCTAATTTTAGAAAATATGCTTTTCCCAAAAGGTTTCCACAATTTTGGCCACTACTGTAGATCCAAGTACTGCTAAGTATTGCTTTTATAATTCTGGAGCAACCCACTCCAGAACAGTGTGTCCTGAATTTAATCACCAGATTAACCAAGCACAAACAGCGATTTCGGTTTGTGTGCATGTCAGCTTTTACCCAATCCATTAGCTTGCTGAAGGACTGATTCAGACCATCAACTTAATTCATTATTGTGCTCGCTTCGGCAGCACATAAATTAAAATTGGAACGATACAGAGATTAGCATGGCCCCTGCTCAAGAATGACACGTAAATTCATGAAGTGTTCCATTTTTTAAAAAAAAAAAAACTTAATTCATTATTTTCTCAAAATTTTGAGTTCACTGATTGATGAATAAGTAGATAGATATACTGCATTTCAGGGGGAAAAAGTGAAATATCTCAGTCTCAAGTTTAGAACAACGCAACTTACTTGAAAAGTGTATGTTTTCAAAAAAGAAAGGTTGTCCACTTTGAATTTGCAAATGCTGCTGTTCTTTGTCTCACCGCCATCCCATTCTAAAATATAGACTTTGCCGGGTCCATTTAATTCATCTGGTCCTTCACAAGAAACATCTACAATATTGTTTCCATCCCCGGCTATGTTTACTTCAAAGTTTCTCAAAGGACTAGGTTCTGTTGAAAATTAAAATGGTTTTCATTAAAAGAAAATAAGCAGTGCTAAGAATATAGGAATCAGAATGCTTTAACAATTAGTTATAGATTAGTTATTAGTTATAATTAGTTATAAACAAGAACAAGTAGCTCTTGTTTAATGACTGCAATCAGCTGTTAAGCAAAATGATCACTAAGTGAAGTCGTGACTAAGACCGAGACAGTGATGGACACTGAAATTCACTGGTTGCTGATGTTTCACTCAGATAAAATTCTTTTATACAGTGTACTGTGTTTGACCCATTTCCACTCTTTTTTTGCTCCTTTGCAGGGCAGAGAGATTGCTTAAACAAGCTACAGATAGTCCTTGATTTACAATAGATCGTTTAGTGACTGTTAAAAATTACAACGGCTCTGAAAAATGACCGTTTTTCATAGTTACAACCTATGCAGCAGTGGTGGGTTTCAAAAATTTTTACTACCGGTTCTGTGGGCATGGCTTGGTGGTCATGGCATAGCTTGGTGGGCGTGGCTTGGTTGGGCGTGGCAGGGGGAAGGATACTGTAAAATCTCCATTCCCTCCACACTCCAGGGGAAGGTTACTGCAAAATCCCCATTTCCTCCCGATCAGCTGGGACTTGGGAGGCAGAGAATAGATGGGGGGGAGCAGTCAGAATTTTTACTGCCGGTTCTCCGAACTACTCAAAATTTTCGCTACCGGTTCTCCAGAACTGTTAGAACCTGCTGAAACCCACCTCTGCTATGCAGCATCCCCATGATCTTGGGATCAAAATTCAGATGCTTGACAACTGATTCATATTTATGACCACTGCCATCTCCCAGGGTCATGTGATTGCCTTTTGCAACCTTCTGACCAGCAAATGGTCAGAAATGGGGAATCCAGATTCACTTAACAACTGGGTTACTAACTTATCAACTACAGTGATTCACTTAACAACTGTGGCAAGAAAGGTTGTAAAATGGAGCAAAACTCACTTAACAAATATCTCACATAGCAACAGAAATTTTGGGCTCAGTTGAATTCGTAATTCGAGGACTACCAGTATGTCTTTCTGAGTTGTTTTTCTCTACAGTGCAGCAGTTCCACAAAAAGTACTAACCAAAATGACAAGCTCAGCTTAGTTGATTAGAACTCTGGGTCACTGGCTGTTGCTGTCTGAAACTGACCAGACCATAATCAGTTTTGCATTGCATATTTTTGTTGTCCTAAATGTGTGCATTGGTTGGGAAATGATTTTTTTACTACTGTTTATTACTGTCACATTTACAAAAGGTCACTATCTAAGGCAGTTGCTAAACAAGGACTATCTGTACATAACATACATTGTCCTGGTGCTACCTGTATTAATTATAGATGCTAAATATTTTCACTATTTCACCAGGATTATTTTCACTATTTCACTGGGATTCATCTTCACGAAAATAAAACCAATTTTCTCAATAATTTCTTCTCCTCTTCACTCCACAAAAACACATATTTTTTTCCTAACCATGAGATTTATATACTCAGATATTGATATTCTTTGTGGCACAGAATTGCTTTCTCCCTTTTAAAATCTATTTCCACAAACTATGGTGATGATGACTATAATCCATAAAACCACCAAAACTGCATTAGCAATTAATTAGCATTAATTATAAGCTTTTCATTGGTTGATCCTTTAGGTGGAACATTTTTTAAGAATTCAGGAAAATCACCAAAATAATTTTTCAAAATAAAATCCTGGTTTTCGCCATTCTCAATTTGATCCTCATTTTGCTTTGTGCAGATGGAGTGTGCTCCAAAAGACAAAATGGCACTAAAGTTTTTTTTTTTTAAATTGATAGCCAAAGCCTGACTTATTCAGTATTGTTGACAAAGGAATCAATGCAATAACAGATAATAATAATGAGTCACCTTGTAAGATTCCTCTGTTAATATTAACCTCTCCCAGTTTATCACTATTGATCAGCAACTGTGTCTTCCATTGTGCCATTGATCTTTTCACAAAGTTTCTGATGTTTCTACTGAGCCCTGTTATTTCTAGGCACTTAATTATCTATTCATGTGGCAGGGAGTTGAATACCTTCTTGTAATCAACCCAAGTTTCATTCAACTTTGTCATCCCTTTCTTGTAATTTTCCAAAACTCATCAATTCGGAACTGATCTTTTGTTCTTTTGCTGCTTGGGCAGTTTCCTTTCTGTTCAGGTGGAAGGAGTATGTTTTCAACTAAGTACTGTTGGGTTTCATCAGCTACAACAGTTAGCAATTTGAAAGTTGTTGGTAAGCAAATAATTGGCCTGTAGCTGCCTGGTGATGCCCCTTTTGTTGGACTTTTCATTATCAGGTAGAATTTGCACTTTCCAATCCTCAATTTCATCTTCTGGCAGTATGTTGAAAACTGTTTAGCAGTGAGTTGGTATAGGCTAGTCAGATGTTTCAATCCCAAACCATGCAGTTTATTTTTATCTAGTGCTGAACAATTCTTGAACTTTCTTGCTCTTTTCTCCACCATTTTTTACTGTAATTACACGTTTTTTCATTTTGGTTTCTTTTTTAATCCAAGCTGCATTCTTGTTGCATTTTTAAAATTTGACTCATAGCTGTTCCCAGAACTGTATCGTTTCTTCTTAGTCAGGTGCTGACTGGTTAATTGCAGTCTCTCCTTTGATGGATTACTAGAAATGTTTTTGATTTGACTGAAATTGGAGATTTTGTCTATAGTGTACAGTTTGAGATTGATATCTCTGATCTTTATATATAACCATATAGCTGTTATTGCTGCTTTATTATTTCCTTGTTTCTAGTTGATATTTCTTGATGTGGTATTCCTTGTGCTTCTTGTTCTTCAGCTTTTTTTTCATCTGTTCTAGCTTGCTTGCATCTGATCTTAGCTTGCTGATCTTATTTTTTAATTTGGTGATTTTTGGCTTCTTTCTCCTTCTTTGTTAATTTTGCATCCTAGGTATTCAGTTATAAATGCAGCCATGCTGTACATTAGTTGGTTTGTTTCTTGTAGTGAACGGGTGTTTATATTTGATGTTACAGTATTGGTATCTTTTAATACTTGGGCTAGTTGTTTCTTTGGAACAAGCCTCAATACAGACAGTCTTATTCTGATGTTTTTGTACTGTTCAAAATGCTTGGTTAGTCTTTGTTTCAATTTGTCTTTTTTAATTAGAAGATATTGTTCTTTCTGTGGAGAAAGCAAGGAAATGCCTGGTTTGGGAATAAGAACTATTCAATAGCAATGCTGGCTTCTTCTACTGCTGACTCCTTCTGGTTTGCCTTTACAATCTGAGGTACTTCTGGCAAAGCTTTCAACTTCTTTCCTCTGATTTGCAATTCTTCCAATTCTGCTTCTATGGATTCTTTATTTCATGTTATAAATTGAAGTTGAACTACTAGTCTCGGTTCTCTGATTTCTGATTCTGGATGTTGTTGTTTCTAGATGCACTCTTTTTAAATATCCTCTTCTTGTTATGCTTGATTTGTAAATAAAACATTGGATTGCACTGGGTTGGACAGCAATGATGAGCAAATGCCTAATATGGAAAACCAAGGACATCAGCCTAGCAATCAGCCTGGTGCTGGAGAAGGCTCCTGCATATTCTTTGGACAGCAAAGGTGACTAACAAGCAATACTGGAGCATATAATACCAGACATGTCACTAGAAGGCAAAATCATGAAACTGTGTCTCATTTACTTTGGCCATGTCATGCAGGGGAATTCACTCGAGAAAACAATATGCTGGGAAGAGTGGTAAAAGGAAACCAGGCAGTCAAAGAACCTGGTACTGGACATCATCAAAGCTGATAACAGACAGATTATAGAAAAACTGAAGGAAGTAGTGCAAGACTGGAAGATGTGGAGAGATCTGGCCCATAGAATCACTGAGAGTCAGACACAACTGAATGAATAACATCATTGTCTTCTTCTTCTTCTTCTTCTTCTTCTTCTTCTTCTTCTTCTTCTTCTCCTCCTCCTCCTCCTCCTCCTCCTCCTCCTCCTCCTCCTCCTCCTCCTTCTTCTTCACTTTGTTTTCAATCTTTGTATATCTGCAACAGGGAAACCCCTTTGGGGATGCAATGGGTCACTCAGTTAAAGATGCTGAGCTTGTCAGATGGAAAGCTAACAGCCCAGGTTTGAGACCCAAGTACTGCTGAACGAGTTCCCATTACTTGCCCCAGCTTCTCCTCATCTAGCAGTTTGAAAGCATGAAAATGCAAATAGATAAATAGTTACCACTTTGGCAGGAAGGTAATAAGGTTTTGTGCATCATGGCATATAGTCATGCGGGCCACATGAATGTTTTCAGACAACAATGGTTTCCGTGGCTAAGAAACAGAATGAGCACTTCCCCTAGAATCAGACACAACTTGGAAGGGGGAAACCTTTACTTTTAAACACCTTTTCTTCTAGTAGTCCTGTAGCTATTGGCCCTGCTTGTTCAGCCAACAGTCCGGAGTTCTGTGCCCCATTTGTACACTTGTGAAGTACACATGATGGCCCTTTTTATATATAACCATTCAGAGTAACTGGGAGTCAAATAGCATATAAATTTAATAAATAATAATATTTATTGTGGTTATAACCTTACTCCATAATTATATTTTCACAGCTAAATGAAATATTCACAATTAAATATTCACAACTTACTTGTTGGCATAGTCATAATATAACCAGTACAGGGAAGCCCCTCAAGTGATGGGAGTCTTTTCTTCTCTGTGAATGCCAATACCTTCACTGTATAATTTGTATAAGGTTTTAAACCAGTCCTTTTATGTTGCATGCTATTATATTCTGTCCTAGGGTTTAGATCGTCTGGAACTGTTAAAAACATAAATACATTCAAATATAAATAATGTTTATGCAGAGACACAAATTCAGAAATAATTATTGGCACTGATTTTCATAGAAGGAAACCAACCTCCTATTAAGAATGCCAAAATATAGATGGATGAATGAACATATCAGATTTGATTTCTTGTTTTTTCTGAATCCAACAACTTTCATTTGTCAAACTGAGATCTATTTTTTAAAGTTTAAGATTTTTATGCATTTTTATGTATATTGCTTCCAAACATATTGATTTCATTTGCAGTTTTGTGTATTACACAGTTATTACAATTTTCTTTAACAATGCATTTATGAACATTGTTTTTACAAATATATACATTTTTCTCTAATATATTTTTTAAAATTAGAAAACTGTAAAATGGTGCTGTTTGAATATTAACTAACTTCAAGTTAGTTAATATTCAATTAATATGAATTAGATCTAGAAGTAACAATACTTTCCAATGCAAACTAAACAAATTTCTTACCTTATCCCAGAATAATATTTTGCTTTGATTAATTTACCCTTAATTGATTTTTACTTTAGAATATTTATTGTAGTTTACAAGGTTTTTTTTTCAGGTGATAATATACTGTTCACTTCAAATGTGTGCAAACATTGGGGCAATTATTATTGGTGTTAATGCTGGAGTTTGGGAGATGGAGAATCCCATTCCAATAAATTCTAGCTCTATCTATCATCTGTCTCTTCTATCTACTTGGGGAAATTAGTCTCCTAAGAAACACAGTGGCTCATGAGGTTAGAAGTCTGGGCTGATGATTGGCTGGCTCATGTTTGACACCCATTGCTGCAGCGGATGGGGTGTGCTCCAGTGATGAAACTCAATTTTTTTTACTACCGGTTCTGTGGGCGTGGCATGGTGGGTGTGGTTTGGCTTGCAAAATCCCCATTCCCATCCCACTCTGGGACCAGCCAGAGGTGGTATTTGCCGGTTCTCTGAACTACTCAAAATTTCCGCTACCGGTTCTCCAGAACTTGTCAAAACCTGCTGAATTTCACCCCAGTGTGCTCCCATCATACACTCTACCTCCTGCTGACCAAGCAGTTTGAAAGTGGGCAACCATGACTAGATTAATGGGTACTACTCCAGTGAGCAACTTCATGGGGACACGAAAAGAGCCCTGAGCTGGGTGTCCCTGAGCAATGCTGTTCTCACTGGCAAATCCTTTTGCCACAGAAGCACTTTGCTTCTGACATGGAAAAAAATTGTCTCTTAAGTGGAGGTGATGGATAGGTGAATGGATGCAATGATGGATGGATAGATAAATAGATGGATGGGTGGATGGATGAGTGGGTGGATAGAAGAATGGATGAATGGGCAGATAATTTCCTGTTCTTTCCCTCTGCTGAACTCCTAGCCAAAATACTGTATTTTCCTTTATTTCTATATTGGTCTATATGATAGAACTTTACTTATAGTTAAAAATAATTTCTCTCTGATATTTCAGTTCACTACTTTGTTTAAATATTGTCCCCCCCCCCCAAAGAAACCTTTTGAACAAAATTTGGTTTCATGTGGCCTCAGGTGAAATTGGACAGGGATATTTTGCAATGAAGGACATACTGACATTCTATTCATTCAATATATCAATATGAACTGGAGTGGCAACTGGCTTTTATACTGGCACTGATAAAATACACAAGCCATGTACAGATTGCCAAGATATCTGAGATGTAGTACTGGTTGAATGGCATCTACTGCCCCACCTTCTAAGAGAGTGGGAATAATTTGAGGTCCAGAAGGAGGGGCTGAGAAGTAATCACTGTCCTCCACCAATGTCTGCCATTTCTGTCTGCTAATTGAAACAGGGGGATGATACTGTCAAGATACATGGGATCCAGTGGTGGGTTGCTACCGGTTCTGCCCGGTTCTTGTAAACCAGTAGTGGAAATTTTGAGTAGTTCAGGGAACCGGTAAATACCACCTCTGCCTGGCCCCGCCCCCAATCTATTCACTGCCTCCCAGTCTCCCAGCTGATCTGCTAGAAGGAAAAAATCAGGGCTCACCTGACAAAGAAGAGGGAAAAAAACAAGACACCGTTACTTTAAATTGAGAAGCCAAGAAGCAGCTTCTGGAAAGAGGTTTTTACTTGCAGAAGCGAAGTGACATTCAGCAGTTCGTTTCTGGGTCAGCTGAACAACAAACTGGATAAGAGGAGGGATTCTTATATGGTTCTATGTTTTTAAAGTTTTGGGATTTGTGCAACATGGGCTTTGTGTTTCTAAAAAAGATTTGGGTAATTTCCATTGTGAAATATCCTGTCTTGAATGAGTTTTCTGCCTGCTTGTAAATGGAGCCGAACTTCCAGCTTCCATTTTCTATTATCTCTAAGCACTGGTAGCTGTTTTCTTCTTACAAAGTTTCCTTTATGCAGCTGGCAGGAATGTGGAATGGGTATCAGGCAGGTTCCTTGTTAGCAGCTTGATTTTTCCTTCTTTTTCTGGGAGCCTTTTCTTATGAGTAATATTTTATTTGGGGAAATGAAGAGGAGGGAGTTTGATTCCTTCCCAGAGCAGGTTAGAGGGGTGGGGAAGGAATGGGGATTTTGAAGTAACCTTCCCCTGGAGTGGGGAGGGAATGGGGATTTTGAGTATCCTTCCCCTGTCACACCCGCCACGCCACACCCACCAAGCCACACCCACAGAATCGGTAGTAAAAATTTTTGAAACCCATCACTGATGGAATCTACAGAAAGGAAAATGCCTTCTATTTGGAGGAATCAATACAAAATCAAACTATTTTCAGTGTTAGTGATAGAGATTAGAAAACTACTCTGAAAATATCCTTGAAATTTTCAGAGATTAATAGAGCAAACCTATTACTAGGAGAAGTAGTGAACAAGAGCAGCTACTTATCAAGGTTATTACAATTATCCATCCAGAAAATTTTGAAAATAATGTTTAAAAATCCTGAAAATGCATGAGTAGGTGCTTTCAAACAATTAGAAATACATACTAGTAGTACATAGCAATAGTAGTATTAGTATATATACATACCACCAGATTTCTTGTCGAATATTTTGATTATATAACCATCAATAGGGCCATTTCTCTGGGTTTGTGGTGCACTCCAAGTAACTGTTATACTTTCTGTAGTTGACGTTGATGAACAGTTTTTAGGTAGGTCTGGCCCTGATACAAAAATTAACAGAAAATCAAGTAATGATAAAACAATGATCTCTGGGACATGACAACATAAATACAATATGAGCAATATAATCCATGACTACCATGACTTTACAGGAGAGAAATAGAACCAGTGTCAAGCAGTAAATTGTGTATTTGTGCAACATTGTGTATTTCCAGAAAATGTCAGGAATTTCAGGTCTTAGAAAGGTTTATCAACTCCAGAGTAAGAATACAAGACCAGCAAATCCTATGTGACATTAGTCAACTACCAACATAGACCGATCACTTCAATTCCAACTCTGTTTTTAGAACTTCTATTTGCCCCAGAGGTGATATTTATTCCTTAGGTTCAAGATAAGATGTATGTTGATAGCCTCTGTTGAGAGTTGGGTGGCATGTAAGCATACTAAATTCCTCTTTCCACAAAATACATCTCTTTAGAAATCACATATTGGTCTCTAGAATCTCCTGCCAGCTGGGCCCATGAACAATGAATCATAAACTTTCATCATTTCTAATAGGTTACATTTTTTGTTGGTGACTATAAGAGCAGTTAATCATTCCCAATGACTTCTGATTGGCTGAGATGAAAAGTCAACACATCCCATGCTAAATCTGGCAAAGGGAAGTAAATATGACCAATTATCCTGTGCCCTGTGTGTGGAGAGAGAGAGAGAGAGAGAGAGAGAGAGAGAGAGAGAGAGAGAGAGAGTGTATTTATAACAACAACAACAAAATCTCCAAGTTATTGAAGATTTTGGAAAATCAAATCACCTATATTCTCCAAGTAACGTACAATCATCTTGTTAATCTAGGTTTTGATTCCTTCAAGTTCAGCTTGACTCCTTCTGATGCTATGGACATATCCATCTAATTTTCTCAGCAGCAATTAATAGCATTGACTTCCCATTGTCTTTTTCCAGGCTTTTCACAATCTAATCTAAAATCCTGAGATTACTAATGTTGTCAAGATCGGCTAATCATACAGTATTTATACTGTTGCACCAAACAAAAAAAAAATTGAAGAAAGGAGGAAAAAGTTAACAAGCATTATACATCTTTTAGATGGCCATGAACAGAAATGTTTCACAAGCTTTGAGCCAAACTAAATGTTGAATGCATATTCACACTTAATATGCATGATTTCTTTAGTCCCGAAAAGAAGTAAATATTCTGAAGCAATTACCTACACAGGGATGAAATCACAAACTGGTGCCATTCCTCTCTTTAATGGCTATCTCATTTTACGTTAATTCTCTTTAATCTCATTATCCTGTGATAATGACCACACTTGAGAACGCTGCCTCCATTTTCCCTGTGGACCTGGCTGTTTATAATGAACTTGGCTGATTTAGCATTATTATCTGATATATCTTACCAAATATCAGTTACCAGGATCTCAATACATATCTCTTCCTGTTTAAACACACGCAGAAATATTTAGTTTCTGGGCAAATTCAGTAAGCAATAAGTAACAACATATTTTTAAAAATCACGGTGTGATACTCACTTCCATAGTCCGTTGTTATCTGAAGTGTACGATGTACTGGTGTATTAAGAAATCTTGATTGGTCAATTTTTGATTTGCATGTGTAATTTGTGTTGGGTGGCAACTCTTTAAACTGATACTCTGACTTATTCACATCATTCCAAATGCAGTTAGACTTATTATCTGTAAGGAATGGAAAAAAAATATTGCCCTGAAATCCAGGCATCTCGGAGATTCTACATCTTCAATAGTCTTGCCAAGCTTGGATATAATTGTCCTCCCGATGTGTAAACTTCAACTCCTAGAATTCTCAAACCATATAAGCATAACTGAGAATTCTGTAAACTTAAATGCTCAAGAACATCAGGGGTGTTGTGTGCTGATAAACTTGTATGCTGAGTTTTGATTTGATTTTTAAAGAAGAAAAAAAATGATGTGCTATTGCAAGGAGAAAAAAATTAAGTCTACAATGGAACAGAAATAACTCTAAAGACAATGTACCAAAAGGTTGTATTTCACTTAATCAATAATAGTACTACAGATAATCTTCCTATAGTGGCCATAATTGAGACCCACAATTTGATTGTTAAATGAAGCAGTCAATAAGTGAAACCATGGCTGGGCTTATAACCTTTCCTCAGCTTTCTTTTGCTTTACAGATGTTTGAAGGTCATAAATGTGAAGACTGGTCACAAAGTCACTTTTTATCACTGTATAAGTCAGTTGCTCAGTGAGGATTTCTTATATGAACATACATGAAAACTCAAATTCTTTAAACATTTTTATAATATTGCCTTTATCTTTTATAAGGTGAAGCACTTCTATACAAAGTACTTTTTGATTTCCCCATTAATTTTAGATCAAATGCCAACTAATTGCTTTAAAAAAAAAATCCTACCATTTTGGAAACAGCAATATGAATATTTCAATTCACACCGATTAGCAATGTCCCAAACTAAAGTTATTGTAGTATTAGTGACGGTTTTATCCAAATGCTTGTTATCTGAAAGAGAGGGAGAGAAAAAAAATGAATTCATTTAAGTATTTTTCATGTTTTTTTAAAAAATGCTGGAAAATTACCTCCTTATTTATATACAATGCTTGTATATTTTTGTATGGGTTACAAAACTGTAGACTGGATGAAAAATGAACAAAATTTTCAACAAACGAGAGGAAAAAGAAAGGTAAAAGTGTAATTGCAATGATGAGCAGCTCCTTATTAATCATTTCAAAGAGGTTTCTCACATTTCGATCACAACATTAGAAACTCTTTTTCTTCCATGGCTGATAGGCCTGCCTCTCTCTCCCAACAGGACTAAAGGATAAAATGCCATTTCCGGCCAGAGTTGTCTTAGTTTCTCCCATGTTTCTCCCACTGAAATCTTCACCTGCCTACCAACCACAGTTTCTAGGAAGCTGGGATACAAAGTTATGGGATGAGGGAAGCAGCTATAGCAAGTGAAACCAATTTCTGGTTTTCAGCTATTAAATGGGAATTCCTGGATATTCCTGGGCATTTTTGCTCTCCCCAGGCTCCAGAGGTTTTTCTCGAGCCTCCGGGAGTGCAAAAATGGCCTCCCCGAGCTCTGGAGGCCCTCTTGAGGCTGGAAACGGCCCATTTCCGGACTTCCTGAACTTCTAGTAGGCCCATTTTTCTCCCTCCACAAGCCTCCATGCGTGCCCTGCATTAACCTGCATCCAAAACGGACCATGTGGGGACTCCTGTGAGGGGCGGAGCAGGATGGGCGGGGCCAGCCATGAGTGGGATTTGGGGGCTCTCCAAACTGTACAGAAACTTAGCTAGTGGTTCTCCCGAACTCATGCGAACCCCCAGCAGCCCACCCCTGCAAATATCCTTTAAAGGGGGAGTGATACTTGGTAACACTTGTGATCTTGAGATCATGACAAACAAGAAGGAAGTGTTTCAGTGGTGGGTTGCCCCCGGTTTGGATCGGTTCTCAAGAACCAGTAGTAAAACTGGTGGGAGGCCCCACCCACCTTCCCAGATGATGCCATCAGCGATCTGCGCATGCACAGATGCTTCTGCGCATGTGCAGAAGCAGGGCATGGGCAGGAGCGAAGCACGCAATCCCGTTGCGAAGGTAGTAAAGGTAAGTAGAACCCACCCCTGGAGTGTTTCCTATTCAGAAAATTGCTTTCTGATGAGTTACTACCAGCTCCACCTAGTTGGCAAACTCAAGAGCCACTAGGATTTCAGGAAGACATTTTTAGTGTTAGTAAGGATGAAAACGTTATTTTGAAAATTCTGACAGTCAAAGTAAAGATAAGTCCAGGTTCTTGCTTAATGGCGGTAATTGGGATCAGCAACTCCATCCCTAAATGGTGCAATTGTAAAGCATGATGCCACATGGTAGTGCTGACTTACAATGGTAATGTTGACATTTACAGTTGCCATTAGTACCTGAATCCCACATAACTGTTAAGCAACTCGTCTGTCTGGTTCCCACAGCATTAAAGCAGGTCTATTCAGTCCATCTCATTTAGCTAAATTTGATCAATTTGTGCTATGTATTGCTAAGAAGCACATTAGGTTTTACCTACCCCACCCAAAAAATGATGTTTAAGGCAGGGTTTAACAGAGTATGGAAAACAACATTAAGAACAATAATGTGCATTTTGTTTTAATGAATTATAATTACCAGAAATGGGAACATTAATGAAAAAAGGTTTCTCGCAATCTTCGCTGAACTTTGCTGTTATGTTATAGGTTTGGCATTCTATCAGATGAGATAAAGTAATGGTCTTTTTTTTCCAATCACAAGAAATGCAGGTAACATTCAGCAAATCTAATGATCCATTAAACATAAGATTTGCAGCATGACGATCATCTGTAAACGTCGGAATAGGCGAAATAGCGTCTATAAGACAAACGAACAAATCAAAGTTGGAGGTAATCATTCTGAAACTTTAAAATAAAAGAATTAAATCCACAAAAGGCCACAAATGATATAATAAAATATGTAAATCATAAGGTTACAGTTTTATTCCTGTGTTAATTAACCTACCGTATTTTTTGGACTCTGAGCAATTTTGTTGCAGCAAACAGCAAACAGCCTGCTTTACTTTCATTTTCATTTTCAGCATAGCTTGATCAGCACAAGGAAAAAAAAATCTGCTCCAGCAATTTTACTCTTTGCAGCAGAGCCCTGCGCAAAACAGCTGAGAGCAAATCAGCTGAGGTCGGGAGGCCGATCCAATCAACTTGTGCTAATTAGGCTGGGCTGAAGCTGAAAGGAGCTATTTTTTCTTGCTGTTTGCTTGCAAGGAGGTAACTGCTGTGAGACAGAGGCCAAAGGGTGGGGGCCAGTGGGTGGGTGGGGCTACATTTGGTGTATAAGACACAACTAAATTTTTACCCCCTTTTAGGGGGGAAAAAGGTGCATCTTATACTCCGAAAAATACGGTACTCAGTACCCAGAGGATTCGACATCTGCTCTGTGGCAATGACTGTACCCGTATAAAAACACAAAGCCTCTAGAATCAGTGTAATCTAAATTTTTCTAGTTATATTTATATTGATTTATAAAGCCACCTCACATCATTCTTCAAGGTCCTTGATGTATTTACTCAATCTGGATTAGGTTTTCCTATACTGCTTAAGTAGTGATTAAAAATAAATTATGGAAATTTGGCCCAATAGTTCTTATAGATAGATTTAATTCTTTGGGGGGGGGGCACATAGCAATTTTTTTCCTTGTAGCCTATCAGTTCAAGCATTAACAATGATGGGACAAAACTATCTCTGAGACCATACAACATATCCTTCACTTCAACAGAGGCTAACAGATCCAAAGTCCCAAATTATGCTTCCAAATGACCTTTTTGGGATATTTTTGATCTCAAAAAGACACTTACCTAACTTTTCAAAATACAACTGGATTGGTTGTTGTTATTTCTTCCTTGGAAAACATTTCGCTTCTCATCCAAGAAGCTTCTTCATTTCCGACTGAATGGTGAGGAATAATATAATATTCCCCACTATTCAAACAGAATGAAAGAAGCTTCTTGGATGAGAAGTGAAACATTTTCACACACACACACACACACACACACACACACACACACACCCAAAAATACAAAGAAAGTCCAGTAGCGTTTTGAAAAGAACCTTTAGAACAACCATGACCTGGATGGTTGAGAATCTCCATAGATCCCTGCTCTTTGCACTCATCAGGAGGTTGACTAACTATTTTTTGAAACAGTGTTACTTCTTGCACCATTTTGCACCATTTGTAGTGCACTACAATTTGTCTGTTTGGTTATCTCCCTTATCATAAAGCCCATTCTTGACAAGGCCATAATGGACATTAGCAACTGCAGTGGCTTTCTTGGAGTTTGATGGAAAGGAGGAATAGAGCTGGGAATCCTCAGAAGGCTGATGTCACCCTGTATATATAGCTGGAAAGCTACCTATTAAGCAACCTACAAGTAGTCCTCCACTTACAACCACAATTGGGCCCAAAATTTACATTGTTAAGTGAGACATTTGTTAAGTGAGACATTTGTTAAGTGAGTTTTGCCCCATTTTATGACTTTTCTTGCCACAGTTGTTAAGTGAATCACTGCAGTTGTTAAGTTAGTAACCCAATTGTTCAGTGAATCTGGCTTCCCCCTTGAATTTGCTCATCAGAAGGATGCAAAAGGGGATCATGTGACCCCGGAACACTGCAACCGCCATAACTGTGAGTTGTTAAGCATCTGAATGGAAATCACGTGACCATGGGAACGGTTGTAAGTGTGAAAAACGGTCATAAGTCACTTTTTTCAGTGCCGTTGTAACTTTGAACAGTCACTAATTGAATTGTTGTAAATCAAGGACTAGCTGTATTTGTTACAAAATGCACAAATACAGATGAACGGCCCATGAAAATTATTCTAATCCTAAGGATTGTCCCAAAGGTGCTTTTTCAAGAGGCAACTGGACTTTCTGGTTTTTCTTTGAAGACATTTTGCTTCTCATCCAAGAAGCTTCTTCGGCTCTCAGAGAAGAAGAAGCTTCTTGGATGAGAAGCGAAACGTCTTCAAAGAAAAACCAGAAAGTCCAGTTGCCTCTTGAAAAAGCACCTTTGGGACAGCCATGACTTGTATGACTGAGAGTCTCCATAGACATATGCTAAGGATTCCAGCAAAAGCTCTTCTGTTTTTTTTTTTAAGGGTATAATAATGTATATGGCATCTGTATATGTATATTTTGATGGGACAAGAGTATGCAAAAGAACTGTGGAGGCAGCCTTTCCAACTGATAGAGCTTCTTTCTTATTCAAATGGTTATATTCCATCTTCTTGGGGAGGGGGAATTAAAAACTTACCACAAGCCTTACGATTGTCTGCAAAGGAAAAAAAAAAACAAAAATAAGAGAAAGTCATTTGTAGCAAATGCCTCTTAAATGGGAAAAAAAATTATTTAACATTTACATATTCATGTACATTATTTCATTGGGTTTCTGATTGAGAAGATGAAAATTACATAATATGTTGCGTTGCTTAATAGAATTATTTCATAATTTCATGAAAACAATAATTGGATATTCAGTATCCTGCCATATTTGGGAAGTGGCTCATAAACCATGCTGAAATGTTCTACCCCATTAATGACATCAGACCCTAGTAGACATTAATTTCAGAATATAATCTCTCTCTCAAGTTTCACTAGATACCTCAGTAACTCTTGGCTGTATCAGATAGCCCCAGACCCTTATATTGGATAAAGTTAGTTGGACTGCTCCAATCAGTTGCAGAGTTTTTAACAGCTTCACAGTGACTGAACTGTATGCAGGTAATCTTCAGTTTACCACCAGAATTGGGAATGGAATTTCTGTTGTAAATCACTACGATCAAATTGAGTCAACCCATGAACAGACCCAATTTTATGAAATTGTTAAGGTGTTGTGAAGAGAGTCAAGTGGTCACAGCTTCCCCAAGGGGAATTTTTTGCCATATTTGATAAGAAACTGACAAAAAAAATATTGTGATCACGTGACTACAGACATTGCAACTGGTTGCAAAGTGAGTCAGTTGCCAAATGTCCATGTCAAGCCCCAGATGGGTCTCGCCATCGTTGAGGAGGACGATGAGAAGGGGCCGAATTATGATCCTGTGTCTGCAGGGGAGGGTGCGACAGTCCTAAGTGTGGGTGCATGTCATAAGTAGCTTTTTATTAGACTGTTATAACTTTGAACTATTGTTAAACAAATTGTCATTAAGTCAAGGACTTCCTATAACCGGGTAATTGCCCAATACACTACACACACAAGCTTATCAAGAGTAACCGTATTGTAACCTTGCCTTATGCATGGAAACCTTTTGCCAAACATGCATCAGAGCTGACCAGAATTTAGTTACCTTGTATGCAACATTGAATGGGAGCCAGATAATAAATAATATGTCCACCATCCTCTTTTTTTTAAAGAAAGTTTTCCAACATGGAGGAAATTAAATGTACTCAGAATCTTCATTAAGGTTGTGGCACAGTAGAACGTAATTGTTGCCTTCTACTGTCCTTGCCACACGAGGCTACAACATTCCACATGCTGCGACATGCTATAACCTACTTCTTTTACAGTGGAAGGCAGACATCACAACATCAGAATGCTCTATGATCTTTAGTTAGTCATTGGGAGTAATCTGCTAATTTGGTGGAGAACGTAGGCTGTACCAGCAGATTGTAATATACTACAAAGCTCAATTCATCTCCAGCTGTCATTCAACATTACATATACAATGTGCTGTTTGAGAATTTTTAGCAGAATTATGTTCAGATTGCAGCGACTTGAAGGGGACACCATAGTGAACCAGTTTATAGTCAACTGGCCTCTTCCACTGACTATTTAACAACAGCAATGGGATTAGATCATCCTACGGAAACATTGCTCAAGCTAATTGAAGATTGAGATGCATTACTCCAACCTCCAATCTTAAGACTGTACTTGAAAGATATTTGGGAGCTTGTAAAGCTCACAGTTTTTAATTGATAATTTATGTTATAGTTATCTATGTACTCAGTTGAGACCCATATAGCAATCCTGCAGAAATTGCATTGCCACTATTAGAGTAATCATACGTTTGGATTACCACAATGCTCCTTCATGTTTTTGGAGATACATACAGTACATGGACATCTCTTCATCCAGTAAGGTAAAGGTAAAGGTTCCCCTCGCACGTATGTGCTAGTCATTCCCGACTCTAGGGGGCGGTGCTCAGCTTTGTTTCAAAACCGAAGAGCCAGCACTGTCCAAAGATGTCTCTGTGGTCATGTGGCCAGCATGACTAAACGCCAAAGACTCAGGGAACGCTATTACCTTCCCACCAAAGGTGGTCCCTATTCTTCTACTTGCATTTTTAATGTGCTTTTGAACTGCTAGGTTGGAAGAAGCTGGGACAAGTAACGGGAGCTCAACCCATTACGTGGCACTAGGGATTTGAACCGTTGAACTGACAACCTTTCGACGACAAGCTTAGCATCTTAGTCATTGAGCCTTCATCCAGGACAATAAAGCAAACTGCAAGGATCTGACCTAGTTGATTTGTCAAAACCAACTAAGAAACTCTTCTTCTTAGCACGCATGAAGAGAGGGGTTTTATTAGGATGGGAACTTAAAAAGTGGAGAGCAAGCTTAATATTTTGTTTTTCCTTGAAGACGTTTCACTTGTTGTAGTGGTTGAGGCACCAATCTAGAAACCAGGAAACCAAGGGTTCTAGTCTTGCCTTAGGCACAAAGCCAACTGAGTGACCTTGGGCCAGTCACTCTCTCACTACCTTAAGAAGAAGGCAAAGGCAAACCACTACTGAAAATCTTGTCAAGCAAGCTCCAGTGATCTGTCCAGGAGTCAACACTGACTCAAAGAGACAAAACAACAACGACAACCCCTGAATCAAGTGCTTTATAAATTTATAAATTTTAGTTCTTCATTCAGATTATAGGGCTGAATGCAGAATTCGGAAACAGTTTTTACATAATTCCTATTCAATTCAATTGACTTCTACAGGAAAACATTTCAACAAACGTTCATAGAATCAAACCACACTTTAAGATTAAAGTGTGGTTTGTATTCAAAACTTTGCATGCACAGTAAGTAAATGGGTGCAGGTTTGTCACCTATTGAGGTGGTGTTTGGGAGAGCTGAAGAGATGCTTGTTGCAGTGCCAGTGGTTGGAGTAAAGAAAGTACTCCCATCATCTGCCAAGAAATAAACAGAATGTTAGCATCACATCCAGAAATAACTGCTAATATATTTCCCATTTGGGAAATAATTTTAAAGCTGAAAGGAAAGAAAATGTGTCGTGTTGCTTTTCCAAATCAAAAGTAGAAAAAAATATAATTTTTCTACTACACATTATGTAGTATTACGTGCTACACTCAATCTATTGCACAATCACAGAGCATACATCCTGAACAAACATGCATAGAAACTCATGTTAATTTAAGGTAAAAATCCTTCCCCTACTTAATTGGAGATTATGACACCTCACAGTGGTTGCATCAGGGGTCATGATGAACAATGGCCTGTCATGATGGTGATCAGATTAAAGTCAAATTAGCCTTTTTTTCACCCCATGGCTTGCTGTAAAGGAACAAGCTATTAAGAAAAATGTCACAAACTTGATAGAGCAGTCATGAAGACTTTAGAAAAGATATTTAGATGCTATATTTTTACACTGAAATAAAAGCAGAATCGTGCAATCCATATTAATTGTTGAATTCAGCACACTTTGAATTTAATAAAACATTGGTTTCAACGCTACTGAATCAGTGATTTTCTAACTCCCTATACTACTACAATATCCTATGCTAATTTATAAGACTTTCCCTTTAAAAAATTAACAGCCGCACTGATGTTAGGGTTGGACAAGAAATAATATGCCATTTATGTTTTAATAGTCAAATGTTAATCTCTTTCTTTCAACTATTTTGAAGGGTTTAGACTTTTACTATTCTTTTACTATTTATAATGTTTTTTTTAATTTATTCCTATTAAACATCTCAAAATTTTCTATGTCTTTACAAAATCTTGTCTTTACAAAAAAAATAAGAAAATACTGATCACCGATCATAATAAATATACTACTGCTAATCTATATCTAATCTATTAATGTACTAATCTAAATATCATAAGGGTTGTGAAACTTTGTGGTACTCTAACTGCTCACTCTAGGTTTTGCAGACAGAAGAAGGACCAAAGCCCAGAGCATGTTTTCACAGCATGTTTACTCTACCTGTCCAATCAGTCCAATCAAGTTTTTCAACTCACATAGATATGTACGCCCAGTGACACACACAAACATACACACACAAGTCGCTTGAAACTTCCAGGAGGTTTAATCCATAGACTGAGAAGTCCTGCTTTCCATGGTCAGAGCACAAAAAAATAATTTGTCCATCAGAATGTCACAACTTAATCAGACAACAGTCTTATACATCATCCTTTTCCAATGTGATGCTCTTCAGATATGGTGGACCAGCTCCCATAATTCCCTCAGCCTGCATTGTTAAAGGATAGATTACTAAGCATTCTGGGAGCTGGAGTCCAGCACATCAGAAGAATGGTCAGGCTGAGCAAGGTTGCGATGCATACTTATCTGAGAGTAAGTCTCACTGAGTCTTACTCACTCAATCAAAGGGACTTGCCAAGCCTTCACAACTACACAATTGGTTGAAATATTGCTCTCTTGCAATTTTGTGAAAAAAGGAAGATGTTAATGATTCAGATGATCCTATACCTCAGCTTGTAGAAACCCCACCCCCAAACAAATAGAGGTTGACTTTCAACATGTTAATTCTATGTTAACATTTTATTTATTTGTCAAATTTAGGTACTGTCCATCTTACTCTGAGTCATGCAACTCATAATGTTGCATATTGGCCCAAGCATCTGAGTATTCATTATCTGGTTATCTTAGTGCAGGGGTGTCAAACTCATGGCATCACGTTGTCGTCATGTGATGTATAATGACTCCCCCCCTTCATTAACCAGAGGTAGGTGTGGCCAGTTTGTGTGACATATCCGGCCCGTGGGCCGCAAGTTTGATACCCTTGTCTTAGTGCATAGTCATAGCACAGGTGTCGCACTAATTGTTTCCCTTATTGCCACACTAAGCAGATGGTGTTAACATTCCTGAATTTCAAAATTTTCAGGAGAAGGAGGAGGAGAAGGTAGTTCTGAATATCACTTAACAGATAAGGCTAGCTGAAGGCTCCCTAGAGGTTCAGCCTTTACTGGTGCATAAAACAAAGTAGACTTAAGACCAGCTTGTGCCTTGATGAGATACATCACCTTCCACACTTTTCCATGTATTTACCCCTTAGACACTACAGAAGGAGCTGCTGCCTCATTTCCTACTTCATTGTCTAGCTACATATACAGTATAAACAACCTTTGCTAGCCTGATGCCATTCAGATGGGTTGGGAGAGTAGTGTTACAGTGGTTATGTCTGTTCCCAGCATTCTCAGTGTATCAGTCTCGGTCTATGGGAATTTGGAGAGTTATGGGTCTAACCCAGAGGTGGTGTTCAGCAGGTTCTGACCAGTTCTGATGTCAGGTTTCGATGTCATCTCAAATAAATTGCACTCCCAAACAATTAATCTTTGCTGAAATATTCCATTTATTGAGTACGACAGATCTGGCCCCAACTTCGTCGTAGCCGATACTAACCCTCTGACCCCCAAACCCTTCCCTTTCCGTTCCCCAATTCTCATCTTCTCATTGGCCATCTTCCAAGTCAGTCTCCCCAGCTTCTGACCTCAACCCATAGGAATGTCCCCCCTCCCATCCCATCTCCTAGGGGATATTATCTACAGAGAAAATAAGTAGGTGAAAAGTCAAGCCTCGTCTCCTCCTTTTTATGGCAGCATCAGAATGCTGACATCTGAAGAACTGTTAGTGGAAATTTTGAGTAGTTCGGAAAAATGGTAAATACCACCTCTGACTGGCTCTGCCCTGATCTATTCTCTGCCTCCTGAGTCCCAGCTGATTGGGAGGAAATGGGGATTTTGCAGTAACCTTCCCCTGGAGTGCGGAGAGAATGGAGGTTTTACAGTATCCTTCCCCTGCCACACCCACCAAGCCATGCCCACAGAACTGGTAGTAAAAAAAAATTGAATCCCACCACTGTCTAACCCATCTGAAAGGAGCCAAGTCAGGGGAAGCTGACATAGGGACTGACCATTCCAGACAGAGAGCAGACAGCTATCACCATTACCTGCATTCCTGCATTGCAATTTAGTATAATCAAGAGTCCCAATTAAATGCTTCCAGCCCTGTGGAATTCAACTTTGCAACGTACACACAGAGCTTTCCCATTGCAAACAGACAATATTTATAAGGCATTATGACCTGAAATTCTCAGTTTAGCTTAGTTTCCTTATGCCTGAATCGCTAAAGCAAACCTGAGATAGTGAGGGAAGCAGAAGTAGCAAGGAAAGCCACACTCTCTTTGCTAAGAGAGGCTTCAGTAAAATTAACAGCCTGAGAAACAGGAGGAGGCACTGTTTCGTTGGTTGAAGGACCAGGCTTTGCTTCAAAGGTGCTTGCAGGTGAGAATGGAGTGGTGCGTGCAGGTGTCATTGGAAAGTCAGGAGTTGTTTTTCCTATGGAGGGCAGATAAGGAATGGGAAAAAAATCAGCATTATTGTACACAGATTTTAAAAAAAAAATCCCCACAAATTGATTTGGTTCACTCAGAAATGTATGAAACACAGTACAGGTAGTCCTAGATTTACAACAGTTCATTTAATGGCCATTCAAATTTACAATGGCACTCAATAAAGTGACTTATGGCTTTCTTTCATAGTTATGATGCTTTGCAGCATCCCCACGATCATGTGATCAAAATTAAGATGTGATTGTGTGATCACCTTTTGAGACCTTTTGACAAGCAAAGTCAATGGGGAAACCAGATTCACTTAACGACTGGGTTACTAACTTATCTACTGCAGTAATTCACTTAACAACGGTGGCCAAAAAGATTGTAAAATGGGAGGGGGCAAAACTCAATAAATACCTCACTTAACAACTGAAATTTGGGGCTCCATTGTGGTCGTAACTCGAGGACTACCTGTAATGACCTGAGACCATTTCTCAGAGGCTTTATAATTAAACATTGCAAAACCCAGGTCTACTCACCCATTTCTCATTTTATTACTCTAATATCACTTCCATCCTTAAATTTAGCAATTAAAGGCAGATTAAAGGCAGTTTAACGTTTAAATGCAATTACACTTTAGAAGAATACAACACTGATTTCCTGATAAGGTTTATTGTAGCTGCAATGTGCATTTTTAGCACTTTTAACCCTTCTAATTCTTCAATTATATTGTTATTATTTTTGAAAAACTTCCTGGAAGTTGCAGTATATTAAATATATTAAATTAAAATAAGATGAGCTTCACTGATCAGAAAGTCATGGAAATCACTCCAAAAGGTAGTACAAACAATTAGAACATAATTAACTGAAGTAAAATTTTCAATATTTGCCCCTTGGAAAGAAACTGGTTAAAGATATATCAGAGGGAAAGGACACCATTCATTTATACCAGCTGTGCTGGCTGGGGAATTCTGGGAGCTGAAGTCCACAAGCCTTAAAGTCGCCATGTTTGGAGACCCCTGATTTATACTGTTAGCATATCATTCAGCAACCATGTTTCTGAATGCAGTTTACAAAACCAGTAAAAGAATAAGATACAAACCTAGAGCATAGTCACACATCTCAGTTGCTCCTACACGGTGCTCAGGCAAATTTGATGAAATCATTTTAAGAAAATCTTATCCAGACTGAGACCCTCTTCCAACAGCTTGCAAGATATGCAAAATATCAAATGATAAGCTACCACATCCTCCATTGGACAAGGTCTCTGCTGCTGTGCCTTGCCACTATTCTCTCCCCAAAAATACAACTGTGAATTATTTTCTCTTGTGTGGATCTTCTGGGGCTCACATGCATGCACACCCACATACACAAAATCTACACTCTTGTGTAAAAGTATATGCGAGTGTACATTTGTCTGCACACTTGTTTGCTGATTGTTTATTTGTACCCTATGACTATCATTACGTGTTGTACCTTATGATTCTTGACAAATGTATCTTTTCTTTTTATGTACACTGAGAGCCTATGCACCAAGACAAATTTCTTGTGTGTCCAATCACACTTGGCCAATAAAAATTCTATTCTATTCTATTTTATTATACACCAAGGCATCCGCAACAAACTGGTTTAAATAGATAAGAACACTTGAGATGACATAAGATGGAAAAGTGTTTTTCAGAGACAGGACAGAAAATCACACCTTGAAGTTGTTTTTATAAGTCAGAAATCCATAGAGGATGGCATTGTCCATTTTTGCCTTCCTATTTTGGCAATGGGACAACTGGGCAGATAAGCCCATATGTACTACAACAGAATTAAATTGACAACAAGGAAAGCCAAACTAAACCAGTACTTCCCAAAAATGTGGAGAGGCGAATGTAATGTTGGTACCATTTTTTTTTTCTTTTTATAACCCTGTAACCCTTTGCATCAGAGTGGGTCGGGGCAACTGAATGGAGCCAAGTGCCAGATGCCCTTCCTAATGCTTACATGGAGTTCACAGCAGATATTTTCTCTTTGTGCCCTGATAGAGAAACATGTGCCTCTGACTAGGATCGAACTCTGAGCCTCCTGATTGTGAGGCAAGCATCTTAACCTCTAGGGCACCACACTGCTCAAAGGTTAGTACCACTGAATAACGTTGTGAGATCAATTATAGAAGGATAGAATGCAAACATCTTCTATTTTTGGTCACTTTATAGCAACTTAATTTCAAAGCTGTAATGGTACATCTCCATCCCATTGCCCTAATTTCTTAGCAAGGTTCTGCTCATGAGGATGTTGCTGATGAATGACTATTGTGGCATAAGATCATATCTCATGAAAAACAAAGATTTCACAAAAACAAATTAAATACATGAATTGCTTACCATTTGTTGTTTTTATAATAGATGTTGTTAGCGGTGGTGGTATTGATTGGCCTAAGAAGGAGGAAAAAGGAGACATGAATACATTGTAGTTATGAAAAAAAAATGGTCCAGTCACAGGACAAAATGCATTTTATTTTGTTCTAAGATTTCATTTTATTTGAAATCTGTACTTGCCATATGGCTAAATGTAACTGAAGGGTAGTGTTTCCCAGTATTCTGTATTGGCCAATCTTACTATACCAATTATAGTTCAAATGATGTAATCTGCATAATCCACATTATTACATGATGATGACATGACATGCAAGACGACATTGTTGCTTCCATACAACAGGTGCATACCTTCCTTCAAGCTCTTGGAGAGAGACATAGTTGTTAATATGACACGCCCTCAGACTAGAGACTCTGTGATTCAATAAGTCAACTCTAACATCAGCAGACCTCAATCTAACATAATACCTTTGTGGGTTTTCTGGGAACCAGGTCCAGCTCTCTCCATACACTTTAAAAACACTAACATAGGTTTATCGATATGAAACAAAGGGTGCCCACCTCATCCAACATAAGCAGTTTTGAAAACTTTATTACTTTCAGATGACAGTTTGTATCTAAGGAATATTTTAACTGATTGATCGTTCCCTCCTCGCCTCTTATGTAAGGATATATTTGATTTATATCGTGGTTTTTTTAAAAAAAAAAAGATGGAAGCTAACAAAAGTTAAAGTGCACAATAAAATGTTAAAATGTAAGTTAAATGGAATGCTACAGCCTAGCAAAAGAGAACTCAAACTGGTTCAGGCTCAAGGTTTTGAGATTGTTTACAACTGGATTCACTTGTAGGTTTCTGGGGAAAATAAGTCCCTTACTTAGGACTTCTTATCTCAAGTTTAGGAAAGTCACTGTCAGTCCTGTCACATTCTTTGACATTGTCGTATTGCTTGAATGGAATAAGATGAGATGACAGTCACAGGAAAAGCTTTAAATAACGCCAACACTTTATTACCTAAAAGCAGCATTCTGGAATCTGTAGAGAGTAATGTGAGTTAAAGTGAGTTCTCCTAGAACTCACAGTAAAAGCCTCTTTGAGCACCTTCCAAATTTCCACACCTCACGGTAACAGCTTCTTTGAGCAGACTATCATATTCCAGTTTAGAAAATGGTAATTAAATCAACCCTTTTTAGTTTCTCGAATGTAGGGAAGGGAAAATATGTGAATATATAGGTACTCACACAAACATACATCCGTTGTATATACAACGGAAATACACAAGTTACCTACAGAGACTGATATACTCATTGTACTATAGATAGTCTTCAATTTATGACTGGTCACTTAGCAATCATTTGAAGTTACAACCGACCCCGAAAAATCTACTTATGACCTGGATTCAAGTGTCTGCTTCCCCCAGGGGTCACATGACCACATTTTGGATGTTCACCAATGGGCCGACACTTACAGCCATTTGCAGGACCCTGCAATCTTGTGACTGCGATTTATGACATTTTTGCTGGAAATGGATGTTTACTTCCAGCAAAAACTGCCCCAAAGCAAACAATGGATTTACTTAATAACTAACGTATTCGCTCAATGACCACTGCAAAAGAGGTCTGTTACGTGACTTTACGACCATGATGGCTTACAACTGAAATCGTAATTACAGTCTTAAATTGAGGACTACTTGCATATCATGATTTGCTTCATTAGATCACAATAAAGCATAACTCACCAGCTACAAACCACAGTGACTGGGCTTGCGCTATATGTTAAACCCAAAACAAATAAACCAAATTATGATTTATTTATTTATTTGTTTATTTATTTATTTATTTATTGGTTCGATTTATATGCCGCCCTTTTCCGGAGACTCAGGGTGGCTTACAATGCGTTAAGCAATATGTATGCTTTAGTATGAGGGATGAGTCCAGCCCAATCAACTGCCTACACAGATACTGCCAGATACAAAATAAAGTAGCCGCATAGAAAGACAGAGGCAGAGAAAGAATACAGGTGATACATTTGTGTGTTGTGTATATATGTCCACATGTCCATATAAGTAAGATTTATATATTATTTGTGCTGGGATAGAAAGTTTATTAATACTTATATAGTATTAATGAATACTATTAATACTATTCACAGCTGGGAAAGGTACAGTAACTAGAGGACAGTCATCAAGTTATTCTTTTTGCTATCTTTGCTCTTCCTTGAGTTTTTAAAAAGCATTTAACAAGAAATCAGTAGATGGCACTATAACATAACAAACTCTAACAAACTCTTATGAGGTAGAAATCAGTTTCACTATAACAAAGTAGATATGAGCCACCAGGCAATTGATGAAGAGAGTTGCTTTTAAAAGACAAAGATGTAAAAACCCTATCTAACTAGTTATTTATATTTTACATTGTCCACAGGGGTTTAGGGAAGCTTACATGATTGGAACTTCAACATAAATATGATATTTGTAAGAAAACATTGCTAACTTTTGGCATGTTTTTGACAAAAAAACTGGTTTACTGATAGATCATCTTAGGGCCCATTGAGTTTTTTTTTAAGTCATTATCTTGGAAACTTCAATTTGCCCCTATAAGTAGTCACAACAGATTTGAACTACAAAAAACCAAGTGACCAACAGTAAAAATTTGCCATCTAATTTTTCCAGTCCATGTGTGGTCTGCCTTCAACAGGGTACTAAACCTTTCTTAAATAGAAAAAGATGGCTGCCAGGAACATGTCTTGAAATGAAGGATCTTTCACGGAAGATGATCTGATGCAGGGGTGTCAAACTTGATTTCATTGAGGTCTGCATGAGAGTTTTGTTTGATTTCAGGGGGCCGAGATGGACATGGACAGGATGGACATAGGCAGCTCAATGTCAGGGGCGCCTGTGGTGGCCCGAGCACTCTGCCAGTGAAAACGGGCATGAGGCCCTCCCGAGCTCTATGTTAGGCAGCAACTGTCGAGAAATCATTGGGTGCATTGTCATGGAATGGTCCAGGGAATTCAAACAGTGTTCTTATATCACAAGGAGACAAAAATATGTTTGGCTTGGTCAGGAGATGTTACGTCCAGTTAATAATCAATAATCTATGAATATTGCAATTGCTTTGCAAATATTGGCTTACATAACATACTGTACATTGCTAGCAAGCTCATTCAACCTGCACAGTTCCTCAATTAACCTCCTAAGTGCAGCTGATATTTAGAAGAGGCCTGGAAATTCTTAAAGCCTCTTCTGAGGAGCACCCACCACCAACAGAAGCTGTAAAACAGGGGTGTCAAACTAGCTTCATCACAGTGGTGTCACGTGAAGTATTGGGATTTTTTCCCCTTTGCTAAACCGGGTGGGGGCAGGGCCAGCACATGACGCATCCAGGCCACGGGCTGCAAGTTTGACACCCCTGCTGTAAAAGGAGGGCCACGTGGAGCTGTAATGGGGATATGTTGAAAATAAAAACAGCTTTGCTAAATATGTGAGTGTGAGATCAGGTTTTGCTGAGCGGAAGCCAGATATAATCTGAATTCTATGTCAAACAACAGATCACACCTGGTCTACAGTGACATGAGTTCAAGCATATTGATCTAAGAAGTAAAGCCTTTTTCTACAGTTTTTCCATCTGCAAAACAATCCCATTTCCCCCCCCCCCCTTCTTGCTCTATTATTTTAATATGGAAATGTTCCATTATTTTAACATGTAGGACATGGTTAAAAAGAAGACAACCCTGAATACATGATTCAGGCTCTGCCTGTTTTTAATGTATCACTCTATCACAGCAGTAATAGACTGTATCCTCACAGCCTCCATCTTGCCTTTTTTTTTTAACCATATCCTGGAAACCTCTGAAAATGGAAAAGAATATTTTAGCAGTGCTCCAGTTGCTGGGGTGTCTGACTTGGAGCAATATGCTTAACCAGCATCGTCCTTTAGTTTCCTGTATATAATTGTATGGATAAGTTTGGATTTTAATTAAGCTAAAACCATTTCAAGTTATTAATAGAATGACCCTATATATAAACACATGTAACAAAGCCTTCACTAAAATATTAATAGACTTAAAAACCAGTTTAGATATTTCTGCAAAGTTTATCAGGAATGAAAGTCCTCAGCCATAATAAATAAAGAAGACATCAATGGTTGAAGTCAGCCTTCTTCTTTTAACTGATCAAAGATCTGGTCCAACATATGGCTATGTGGCAAAGTTAAAGTAATTCTGACCTACCGAATTGAAAGCTGAAGTCACTCGAGACTAGGGATGGAAAAACCCAGTCTATTTTAGTTTCACCAAGGCTATTTTTTTTTTCAAACCCCATGTTTGGCTCAGCTTATTTTCAAGATGCTTTTCTTGCTTCCATCATAAAACGCAAACATGACTTTGTAGACTTTTGATGCAATTTTACTAATGTGCATATTTTCTAAGCCATGTAATTAAGCTATAATTAAACCCTTTGCTGTAATATAAGTATTTTATAGACATTCTTCCGTAAAAAGAGGTATTTTAGGTCCATTATTATATCTTAAGAAGTAAATCACAAAATCTAGAAAATTCAGACTTGAGCATATCACTCTGCTCCAGTTAAGGTGAACATTTGGGAAATAAAAAGGAGGCTAATCTGTACTGAAATGAAAATACAGTTAATTTCTAATCCTTAGTTGCAATTCTCTGTGTGCTGCAAGTTCCCCATTATCTGATCTTCAACTAACTAATTTAGAAAAAACACAGCAAACAGGATACCTGCAGCAAATGAGTCCTTAGTTACACATGTGTGGTTTCGCTATGCGTATTTCTGTTTTTCTTTTTCAGAAGCCTGTAGAAAAGGAAGAGGATATGCAGCGCATTGTGGTTTTAGAACACAAGCTTGTCTAAGTGGTGAAACAGTTTCCATAGCAGCAACAGGCTCAGAGTCTCAGCCCACTCTGAGCGCTAAACCACAACTTCTCCAGTGCAGTTGTCATGCTTCCTGATTCTCACTCTTTGCTACAACTGGGCATTTCTAATGATGCTCAAAAATTGTGTATAGTTGTACTACAGACAGAGTTGCTTTTCAGAGTGA